GGAAATTTAGCACTTTTTTCAAGTTTACAATAACGATTGAGGTAGGGACCGTTTTGCCGTTTCTGTTTGAGGTTATCCTGCGGGTGCTGGTTATTTGGGGTTGAGGGTATTGATTTGTGTTTGCTTCTTGGGTGTAGAGTTCTAGGTCTTCGGCTGTTTCTCTAGGGTTTACTCTTATTACACCTCGGGTGAATTGCTGCCAAAGCGGAATTTGTTTTGTTACGGTTACGTGAAATATTTGTACATTTTTTTTGGCTGCATTGAAGGAATCTTGATTTGGGAATATTATTTGGTAACCTGTATTTGCTTTTTTGATGTTGCTGTAATGGATTTTTTCGCGTTTAAACCATAAACCTATCCTGTCTGCTGAGAGTTGTTTAGTTAGGATTGATGCTGAGCCTGCGGCGAAGAAGTATAGTGCGAAGGTGGTGATGAAGGAAGCCGGGGTGGGTGTGGGAGAAGGTGGTGGAGTGGATGAGTCGAGCTTGCGTTTTTGGGGTTTGTGTATTGCGGAAGCGAGTTGGCTGGTTTGGTGGGGGTGGTATGTTCCATGTACAAACTACTTACTTACTTACTTACTTACTTTGGAGATTTAACGTGCGCTTTCCGACTGATGCGTATTTCGCACACGGTAACAAACTACTTACTTACTTACTTTGGAGATTTAACGTGCGCTTTCCGACTGATGCGTATTTCGCACACGGGCCCGGCCAGGCCATTTAATGTGTTTCCGAAAGGGGCGAAAGTGGTCTGTGCAACCCAAGAGGGGGGTTTTAGGGGTTGCTTATATAGAATTTGGGAATTTTGAGATTTGGAATAGATGCCGATGGGATTGGGGAGGAGAACTAAGGGAGCTGGGTATGGTGGATGTTTGTTTGTTTATGTGATTTTGACTTGGTAGGTTATTGTGTTTTTAGATGCGTTTTATTAGTTCCGTTTTTATTAAGAATACGCCTAAGGCCTTGAAGTTTTCTAGTTTATTTTGTGGGTTTAGTATTGCTTCTAGAGTTAGAGCCTTGTTTAGATTGAGGGTGGTTTTTAATGCGGTTCGATGTGTTAGGTAGTGTGTGCAGTGGATGAGTGCATGTTCTGGGGTTTCTGGTTGTTTGCAGTGTGGGCAGTTACCTGTAGTGTGTTTTTTAAAAAAATTTAGGTGGTTATTTAGGTTGGTGTGTCCTGTTTGGAGTTTAGTGATTACTCTGTCGATTTTTTTGGATGGATGGAGAATTTTTGGTTTGGTTAGTGGTTTGCTGAGTACTTTTTTGATTTGGCTATTTGAGTTTAGATATAGGTTATGCCATTTTTTTGTGATTTTTTGCTTGTTTACACTTTTAATTTCTGATTTTGAGATGGGTAAGTTTAAGCTTATTTCTGGGATTTTGAGGGATAGTTTAGCTGCTTTATCGGCGTTTTCATTACCGTATATTCCTACGTGGGCGGGTATCCACAAGAAGGTTATTTGTTTGCCTCCCTTAGTTAGGTCGTTGGAGTTTTTAAGTATTTGATTTATTAATTTAGGTCGGTTTTTGGTATTTTTGTTTTGGAGGGCTTGCAGTCCACTTAGGGAGTCGGTAAGTATTAGGATTTTTTTGTGTTTTTTGGATTCTTGATTATGGAAGGCTGAGGCCATGCCCATTAGTTCTGCCGTGAATATTGATTGGTTGTTTGGGAGTCGGAAGGATTGTGTGGTTTTAGTTGGTTGTGTGGTATGGACTCCGAAACCTGTGTGTTTGGAGGTCGGATCTGAGGATCCGTCCGTGTAAATGTGACACCAATTTGGCCAATTTTCGTGTATGTATGCTAGTGTGGTAGTTTTAGCTATGTTTGGGTCGGTTTGTTTATTTATTTGGCTAGCTAGTGTTTTGTCTATTTTGGGTATTTTAAGTTTAGGGGTGAAGATATTTGATTGTTTGCAGTTTTGTTTAAGATTTTTAATTTGGTGTTCATTTAGGTAGTTTGTTATTCTTTGGGATATTGGGGTAAGTAAGGGGTGTTTACGAGCTAGAGCTTGGTTTTTGGGGCTGATGTTTTGGTTTATTAAGTTTTTGATGAGAGGGTTTGATTGGGACGCGGCCCAGAAATTTAAACTTAGCTGTTCCCTGCGTAGACTTAGTGGCATTTCTTCTGTTAAGGCCTGAAGTGAGGTGTAGGAGGTGCCATGTTGGGTGCGTGTAATTAGTTTGAGAGCCTGATATTGTATTGAGTCAAGTTTTTTAGATAGAGAGTTGTTTAGGGTGTTGTATATGGCGCAGCCGTAGTCTAGTTTTGATCTAATTAGTGATATGTAGAGAGAGAGGAGGGTATCTTTGGATGCTCCCCAGTTAGAGCCAGTTAGGCATCTTAGGGTGTTTAGGTCTTTACTGCATTTAGTTGTTAGGTTTTGGATGTGAGCATCCCAGGTGAGATGTTCATCGAAAATAAGTCCTAAGAATTTGGTTTGTTTTTGAAATTTGATTGTTTGATTGTTTAGCTGGAGGATTGGGGAGGCGTGTTTCATGTTTTTATGTTTAAATACTATTCCTGTTGTTTTTTCTGAGTTAAGGGAGAAGCCCCATTTGTCAGCCCATTGTTGTATTTTATTAAGAGATTTTTGGAGTAAATTTTGGACCATGTTCATGCTTTTAGTGCGGATCCAGATGGCTCCATCATCCGCGAATTTTGATGTGTTTACTTTAGGGGATAGGCCCTCGAATAGATCGTTTATCATTATATTGAAGAGGGTGGGGCTGAGGATACTGCGCTGTGGCGTACCATTTTCTAGGGGACATTGGTCCGATAGAGTTTGGTCTATACCCACGGTTATTTTACGATTGTTTAGGAAGTCCTGGATGTAGTTTATTATCTGACCTTTGAGTCCTATTTTTTTAAGTTTTTGTATTAGCCCATCGTGCCATACCATGTCGAAAGCTTTAGAGAAGTCTAAGAAGATGCCTGTGGTATATTGTTTATTTAGTTGTCCTGTCTTAATATCTTGTTCTAGTCGGGCGAGGTTATCTAGGGTTGAGCGGCCAGGAGTGAAACCGGTTTGATCTGGGTTTATGATGTTATTTTGGGTTAAGTAATGTTGTAATCTATTTTTAGCCATTGATTCCATTACTTTACATAAGTTTGAAGTTAGGGATATTGGTCTATATGAGTTAGCTTGATTAGCTGGTTTATTAGGTTTAGGGATTGGTATGACTAGGGCCTGTTTCCAGGGAGTAGGAACCTCTCCGTTTAGGTAGATGAGATTGTATAGTTTGAGTAGTGCCTAGAGTAGTTTTAGGGGGAGTTTTTTAATTATTTGGTAAGAAGTTAGGTCTAATCCTGGGGCTGTGCCCTTTTTTCCTGTTTTGGATTACGTAGAGGAGCTCCTCCATTGTGTAGGGTTGATTTATTTCTAGATTGTTATTGTTTGGTTCTTTTGTGGGTTGTAACAAACTAGGTAAGGGCATGATATATATACATAACAGTAGATGGATGTTTATATAACAGATAAGGTTGATTTGCACTGATTGATTAGGTAGTTATGATAAGACAAGTTTAAACAAGAGATAGGGTTAATGTACAGTGATTGATTGGTATGGGATTAACACAAGGATTACTAAGAAGGAATGTATGGGAAGCCAGTGGGGAGATAATAGTTCAGTGTTGTGTTGGCAAGCTGATGAGGTCATGGTAGGCTGGAGGGATGTAGTATCCTTGATCTCTGTTTATGGCTGGCTGAATTCTTTTGATGCAAATGGCTTCTCTAAATTTTCTGAGCTTTAAGTCTTTCTGGTTTGTTGTTAAGATGTAGACGTTGTCCCACTTAATACTGTGGCTGGGGTGGATTTGGGTGTGGTCAGAGAGAGCAGATTTAGAGTCTTTTTTTTTAGGACAGAGGCATGATGTTCTTTTAAGCGTTGGTCATTTTCGGACAGGCGTGGCATTTCGTAATGTTGAAAAATTGCGTAATTTTGTTATTTTTCTGAGTGATTGTTGTCAGCACGATGCTAAACAATGCATATGGAATCCCGTTAACGCACATGTTTTTATACCCATTCTTGGATAGTGAAATGCGTGGGGCTTGCATAAAAGTCTGCTTTTGCATGGAATGCATGCTTTTCTGTAACAGTTGCGTTTTTGTGACTTGATTCCATACATATTCTACAATATTGAAAAACAAACTTTACTTGTTTGAAAAATACACTAAAATATATTTGGCACATCCATCATATTTGTTTCTCTCCCATGTTATCAAATATCGGTATCTCGAATGTTTAAATGTCTCGAATTTTTCTGCTTGTTTTCATTACATATTTGACTTAGGTTTGAATCTCATGTTGAATACTGATGTCATTCATTGAAATCTTAAACATTGACAGAATCTTTCTTCAGGCCTTTGTGCGTTTTAGAGACTGGTCGTAAAGTTTGTGTACTTTCAACAATAGTCCCAAAAACATTCATTCAAAATATGCCAATCGTATTATGCAAATACACTGACGTATTTTCTTGTTGTCAATAGTGCATCAGATAGCGAGGTATTGAAGCATAGCACTCAGAAATTGTGTATATCTTCTCAAAGTTATTTCGCCCAGGGAAAGAACTTTTCACTGCGGATTATACTGTATCACTGGCTAAAATTTATATTAGGTTTGAATTTATATGTTGTTTGGCAGTGATATACATATACGTAAGTTTATATAAAAAAATTAAAGCATAAAGTAATCGTCTATAATTGCTGAGTGTTTCAAAATATTGAAAGTCTTATAAGGTGACTGGGAACAGTATAGCCATGGTGCATGGTAGGTGTTCTCATGAAGTGAGGTTGTAAACCTTTGTCTCATATAATAGAGGTAAGATTCAAAGCACCTACATCCCTGTCTTGCTGTCCTGGCCATACAGACTGATGTTGGGATATTAAATCAGTTTATACATTTGTTCTAAAAAGTACTTCTGCAAAGAGAGGAATGAAGTGTTTTTACATCAATGCGCCAGAGTTCTGGTAAAGATTAGGAATACGTCATTTTGTCTTCCAGGCAAGAAGCTCCTGCTGAACGTGTCCCCGCCCTGTCTGTCCTCCATCACCATCGAAGCAGGGGCAGCGTTAGTCTGGGGCGACGTGGACAACCTCAACGTCTGTGTCAGCTACATCCTCATCAGAGGCCGCCTCCAGATCGGCAGCGAAGACTGCAGGTTCACCAGGAAAACTCACATCAGACTTATAGGTAAAGCTCTTGTCAGCTTTCTTACGAGTTTATTTTCCGTATAAAGACATGTAAATAGCGTTTTCATTACCTAGTTGTTAATGTTTTTGTAGCATCAAATGGTTCACACGAGACGCCAGTAAGATTGAGGACCGACATCCAGTACCCTTTATTGATTCTTTGTGAACCGACAAATTTGTCACAAATTCTATTCTATAATTAGGAACCATCATTCAGTTGAGTTAGGATTTCAGATTTTGAGGACAATTTTTCATTTTCCATTGAGGTCAGATATTAGGAAATGTCACTCGGCAACAGTTAACTGCCAACTGTTTATGCTCCAGGTGAAAGCAACTCGACGCTGGTCGTTCAAGGCTTCGGTAGAAAGTTTATTGGTGTAGACGCAGGGGGGACCATAGAAGTACATGGGGAAGAAAAGCCATCTTGGACTAAACTGATCAAGACCGCATACTCGCCAACTGATGGTTGTGAAAATCTCTTCAACTTTCAGGTTAGCTGTGTTTACAAGCTTTGGAATTCAAATTGAACTTCCAGAGTTAAATTATTAATACGACGATCTGGGTTCAATTCCCAAACCGCCCAGGTTTCCCCGACTTGCTATTGTTGGAATATTGTTAAAAGCGGCGTGAAACCCAACAAACTTCCATCCACTGATATTGCTGGAGTATTTCCCAAAGTTCGTTATATCATACTCTCTCACTTCGTTACAGTTAACACCTCTTCTTACATCAGTATTGAAGCACCTGGTGTTGTGTTGATGAAGCAGCCGAGAGTTGGAATCAGCAAGTGTCAGAGATGCATCCCGATAGTGTTACACTAATTCAGTTTGTTCGATAAAAGATATTGCTCTCTTTACAGCTTCAAAATATATAGTAGCCCTTTGTTGGTCAAATCACGCTTTGATCCCATCTCGTGACCTGGCAGAGTTGACATTTTCATGAGAGACACAGCCACGAGTGAAAATGTCAACTTTGTCTGGTCACTCGATGATATTTGTTTGTTGTTTAACGCCGCACTCAACAATATTCCAGCTATATGACGGTGGTCTGTAAATAATCTGGTCCAGATAATCCAGTGACTGACATCATGAACATCGATCCACGCAATTGGGATACGGTGACATGCATTAACCGAGTGAGCAAGCCTGACCACCCGATCCCGTTAGTTACGACAAGCATAGTCGCCTTTTAAAGCACGAACGGGTTGCTGAAGACCTATTCTTCCCCGGATCTTCACGGGTTTGGAGTTAGTGTGTTACAGCTTGATGTAATATGCCAATACTACCAAGCTGTAACATTTCAACACTATCAAGATGTAACACACTAACACCAAGTTGGTGTTGACATGTTACAACTTGGTTGTGTTGATATGATACGGCTTGGTAGTGTTGATATGATACGGCTTGGTAGTGTCGATATGATACGGTTTGGTAGTGTTGATATGATACGGCTTGGCAGTGTTGATATGTTACAACTTGGTTGTGTTGATGTGTTACAACTTGGTTGTGTTGATGTGTTACAACTTGGTTGTGTTGATGTGTTACAACTTGGTTGTGTTGATGTGTTACAACTTGGTGGTGTTGACATGATACGGTTTGATGGTGTTGATATGATACGGCTTGGTAGTGTTGATATGATACGGTTTGGTGGTGTTGATGTGTTACAACTTGGTGGTGTTGACATGATACGGTTTGATGGTGTTGATATGTTATAACTTGGTGTGTTGATATGATACAACTTGATTTGTTTGTTTGTTTACACTCAGCAATATTCCAGCTATATGACTGCGGTCTGTAAAGGGATTGGCATCAAGAGCAGCCATCTACGTAATTAGGATATGATGCCATGCATCAGCCAAGTCAGCGACCCTGACCACTCGATCCCGTTAGTCGCCTCTCACGACAAGCATAGTCACCTCTTGCGGCAACCTATTCTCTACCCGGACCTTAATGGGTCTACAACTTAATAGTGTTGCAAAATTACAGCCCTGTTGTGTTGACATGTTACAGGAAAGTCAGTTCAACAAAGAGAATGGCAAAGGCTTGTACGTCACCGTGTTCAACATGGACGGCTCTCTGTGGGACTTTGCGTTGTTTAGAACAGGCGATGGAGTGGATGGCGAAGACGTCAAGTTCAAAGACTTTGTTACTGGTATGTTTTAGTCACCACAACAACCAAATAAGGATGAAAGATGAAACGAACTTTCACCACAGTTGGATAAAAAGTCGAATCCATAAATGAACGTTTCTCAAACATTTCAGACACAGTGCTAAATATCTCATGTCTGTAAGCATATGTTCAATGTTCCATGAGCCGGCGCGCGAATGTCTGGAAACAAAGGCTAACCTGGACATTTATTTGATTACAAATGAAAGGGTAGATACGGTCCTAAATTCTCTTGGTAAAATTTAATTTTTGGAATAGTGTTTCATTGACAAAATTACATGCTTACCCCTTTTGTAAGACAAGTATGACTTTGATATAGGAACTGAAATACTACCAATGCGCCATTAAACTTTCTTGACTTGCATCGCCAAAATTAATGGTTTTCCCACCAGATATCCCAAATGACAAGATCCTTGCTGTGGCTATCCAAGGTGAACTGGGGACTGGGGACATGAGCGCCGTGTACGAAACACTGGAGTCTGCTGGGGGTCTGACGTCATCAGCCATCCGCGCAGTCACTGGTCGACAGGCTTATGCCTTCATAACGAAAACAGGTCGGTAGTGATTACTGCGACATAGGTCGGTAGTGATTCCTGCGACACAGGTAGGTAGTGATTACTGCGACACAAGTAAGAAGTGATTACTGCGACACAGGTCGGTAGTGATTACTGCGACACAGGTAGGTAGTGATTACTGCGACACAGGTAAGAAGTGATTACTCCGACACAGGTCGGTAGTGATTACTGCGACACAAGTAGGTAGTGATTACTGCGACATAGGTCGGTAGTGATTACTGCGACACAAGTAGGTAGTGATTACTGCGACACAAGTAGGTAGTGATTACTGCGACACAGGTCGGTCGTGATTACTGCGACACAGGTAGGTAGTGATTACTGCGACACAAGTAGGTAGTGATTACTGCGACACAGGTCGGTCGTGATTACTGCGACACAGGTAGGTAGTGATTACTGCGACACAAGTAGGTAGTGATTACTGCGACACAGGTAGGTAGTGATTACTGCGACACAAGTAGGTAGTGATTACTGCGACACAGGTCGGTCGTGATTACTGCGACACAGGTAGGTAGTGATTACTGCGACACAAGTAGGTAGTGATTACTGCGACACAGGTAGGTAGTGATTACTGCGACACAAGTAGGTAGTGATTACTGCGACACAGGTCGGTCGTGATTACTGCGACACAGGTAGGTAGTGATTACTGCGACACAAGTAGGTAGTGATTACTGCGACACAAGTAGGTAGTGATTACTGCGACACAAGTAGGTAGTGATTACTGCGACACAGGTAAGAAGTGATTACTGCGACACAGGTAGGTAGTGATTACTGCGACACAAGTAGGTAGTGATTACTGCGACACAGGTCGGTCGTGATTACTGCGACACAGGTAGGTAGTGATTACTGCGACACAAGTAGGTAGTGATTACTGCGACACAAGTAGGTAGTGATTACTGCGACACAAGTAGGTAGTGATTACTGCGACACAGGTAGGTAGTGATTACTGCGACACAAGTAGGTAGTGATTACTGCGACACAAGTAGGTAGTGATTACTGCGACACAGGTCGGTTGTGATTACTGCGACACAGGTAGGTAGTGATTACTGCGACACAAGTAGGTAGTGATTACTGCGACACAGGTCGGTCGTGATTACTGCGACACAGGTAGGTAGTGATTACTGCGACACAAGTAGGTAGTGATTACTGCGACACAAGTAGGTAGTGATTACTGCGACACAAGTAGGTAGTGATTACTGCGACACAAGTAGGTAGTGATTACTGGGACACAAGTAGGTAGTGATTACTGCGACACAGGTCGGTCGTGATTACTGCGACACAGGTAGGTAGTGATTACTGCGACACAAGTAGGTAGTGATTACTGCGACACAAGTAGGTAGTGATTACTGCGACACAAGTAGGTAGTGATTACTGCGACACAGGTAAGAAGTGATTACTGCGACACAGGTAGGTAGTGATTACTGTGACACAAGTAGGTAGTGATTACTGCGACACAGGTCGGTCGTGATTACTGCGACACAGGTAGGTAGTGATTACTGCGACACAAGTAGGTAGTGATTACTGCGACACAGGTCGGTCGTGATTACTGCGACACAGGTAGGTAGTGATTACTGCGACACAAGTAGGTAGTGATTACTGCGACACAAGTAGGTAGTGATTACTGCGACACAGGTAGGTAGTGATTACTGCGACACAAGTAGGTAGTGATTACTGCGACACAGGTCGGTCGTGATTACTGCGACACAGGTAGGTAGTGATTACTGCGACACAAGTAGGTAGTGATTACTGCGACACAAGTAGGTAGTGATTACTGCGACACAAGTAGGTAGTGATTACTGCGACACAGGTAGGTAGTGATTACTGCGACACAAGTAGGTAGTGATTACTGCGACACAGGTAGGTAGTGATTACTGCGACACAAGTAGGTAGTGATTACTGCGACACAGGTAGGTAGTGATTACTGTGACACAAGTAGGTAGTGATTACTGCGACACAAGTAGGTAGTGATTACTGTGACAAAAGTAGGTAGTGATTACTGCGACACAGGTTTTTGGTTTTGCACTTAAATGTATATCGCTGGAACATTACCGACTGGTGCATAAAACAACAAACATATACCTGAAAAAGTTAACCACGCATGTTTGCGGGAACAACGTTAGGAAACACAGGTTAATGACAGTTAATGTATTTACAGGTGATGCTGGTACCACCCGGGAAATACACGTCTCCATCCCAAATACTGGCGGATACAGAGAGACTGGTTACCTGTCTCTAGACGACAACGGCTATCAGTTCCTGGTCAACAGCAAAGTATATATAGATCCAAAAATGACGAAAGGTATTAACTTCATGTCCGTGCCGCAAGAAGCACGCTTTCCTTGTATCACAGTCAACGCGGACGTATCTAAGTGGAGACCAGGTGAGCTATGCAGCTACGCGGTTGGAACTAGCATTAATCAGAAATAGATTTTGAACTGCGTGTTATAAAATAAAACTGTGCTGGGTCGAAAGGTGCATGGACGTCTGTGACTAAACTAGGTCAAGCTATAACCAATTGAAACAAATAATTTCAGTGTTTGTAAACGCTTAATGCACCTGTTAATTACTTTAACGCATCAGGAAAATCTAGCTAATATAACAGGGTTATCTTATTTCTACTTCATTAGAGGTATTGCATTTGATTCATTGTATAATGGATTTCGATTTCCTGTATAAAACATGGGTTATTCAGGAGACAAAGTCGTCATAGCTTCCACCGACTTCGACTGGAGACAGGCTGAAGAAATGACCATCAAGAGTTGTCCTTCTTGTGAAGTAAACCAGATCTGTTTCACAGGTATTTAAATAACTTAAAACGTCACTGTCATAGAGGTATTCGCACTCATATCTCGACAAACGTCACTGTCATAGAGGTATTCGCACTCATATCTCGACAAACGTCATTGTCATAGAGGTATTCGCACTCATATCTCGACAAACGTCATTGTCATAGAGGTATTCGCACTCATATCTCGACAAACGTCACTGTCAGAGGTATTCGCACTCATATCTCGACAAACGTCACTGTCAGAGGTATTCGCACTCATATCTCGGCAAACGTCACTGTCATAGAGGTATTCGCACTCATATCTCGACAAACGTCACTGTCATAGAGGTATTCGCATTCATATCTCGACAAACGTCACTGCCATAGAGGTATTCGCATTCATACCTCGACAAACGTCACTGTCATAGAGGTATTCGCATTCATATATCGTGGATAGCTCGTTAGATATTTCAATGACTCTCCTGTTATCATGTCACAGCGTCTTTTTTACCCCACTCAGTCACTCAGGAAATGCAACAAACCCTTTCACTCCACACGCTCAGACATTACAGCTTACATAAGTCCAATCCCACTCTAATGTCGATAGTCCTTCAAATTAAAAGGTGATGCACCTCCCTCCCCAGTTAACTGCTAATTAAGCCGTACAATTAAAGATCACATTAAATTTGGAACTGGCATCCTTCACCACTGAAGATGGACAACGGCCAAGAAGGTCGGCCTCGTGATTCTCATCCCCTCTAAGAAACGTGCAAACCCACGGTCCACCTGACAACTCGTCGTTTGCCTTCTTCACCTTGGTCATCAACAGTTGGCGAACTGTTTCTAGCAGAACCTCCCTCCCGTCTACTCAACGTTTGTATACTCCACACAATGGCAAAACACCCCGTTCTGATGGTAGAATAAGCCTTTTCCCTGTCAATAACTTCCGCCTTACATACATAATAAGAACTTTTCACCATTGTCTTCTTCTGAAGAACCGCCCAAAATAGTAACATCTGAGGCATCCGTTCTCAACAAAATATACCTCAAACTGCATTTCAATTATTTCACGGTGTGTCATCTTAATGTGTGAGGACAGCCTGAAGTGCAGGTCGTTTTGAGAAAATTACGAGAACGGGTATGTTGCTGACTACCACGAATCATCATCAGGGCGAATTTGGGATTCGAAAACATGATCACAAGATTAAGATCTATATGTCGCAACTCTGCACAGCGAATATCGGCTTTGACGACTGGGACAACTGTGCAATAAATATGAGTTCGAGTTTCTTTCGTGTTATGGGATGTACATTGAAGCGTTACTGCTGTTACTCATAATCATATTCTTCCAGAGCCTCTGCAGTACATGCACTATGGGGAGGTAACTCTTGGTGTTGACGAGAGGGCGGAAGTGGGGCTGCTGAGTCGGAACATCCTCATAGAGGGCGTGATACCGGAAGACGGGTGCAGTGTCAACGAGCCGGAAGATCAGTACCTCTGTGACCTGTTTGGATTTGACACATTTGGAGGTCAGATCAAGGTTGGCAGTTTATAACTTCAAAGCAACTATACAGGAACTATTAGCATCTGTAAACGTGTACTTGCGAGTGACTTGGTTCCACATTTGCCTCTGTTCACCCTGCACCGAATGGGTACCCGGTAGGATGAGATTGTTATATATATGCTTCAGGAGGATTTGGTAGTGCATTTCACACTGACCTAATACTTCATGTGCATTTTATAAGGCTTATTAAGTAATTCACACATATAATTATTATATGCACACTATTTTTTTCAGATTTTGAGAGACTTTGAAGCTGCCCATATCCAAGGCGTGGAGTTATTTCACATGGGACAACAACGGTTTTCCGGTACGAAAGGGAATATTGGATATACCGACACCAAGTAACATATACGCTCTCTGAACACATTTATACGTATTCGTAGGACAAACCCTGGTCGAGCTAATATAACATGGTTTCCATTGAATATACTGATGACCAAATTGTAATAGAAGTATGTGTTTTGTGTTAGGTTCTTACCCACTCCATTTCCACATGTGCGACGACGCCGACGGCCAGGGTTTCCAGCACAACTCCCTCCACCATTGTCTGGCTAGATGCGTCACTGTCCATGGCACCGACGGCGCAGAGGTCAGTGACATCGTCCGTCCGTAGGTCAGATAGATGTAGATAATGATGTCTACCGGTGTCAACAGTTAATCGTGTAAGGATCCAACGGTCGTGGATTCGAATCCAAGATTCGCACTGGTTTCGTTAACGTGTATTCCACCAGGTTTCTCACAACGTGCGTTAAACACATTGTTTTCATACCAGGTATCACAATGTGTTCACTACATGTTCAACACCAGGGTTCTCGCAGCGTGTGTTAACTACCTTTTCTTTAAATGAAGTGCCTTGCAATCATTTTCTACATTTACCACAAGGTCTTCACAAGGTGTATTCCGAGCGTATATATCTCCTTATCTTTTCACACCAGGTGTCTGACAATGTGTGCTATCTCCACCACGGGCACGGCTTCTTCCTGGAGGACAGCGCGGAGCAGAGGAACGTCTTCGACAGCAACCTGTGTATCGGCACCATGCACGGCACCCACATCATGTCCGACATGAAGAAGGAATGGTGCAATGCTACCATGAGGCCTTATTGCGAGTAAATATGACATAACAAAGCTTAGACCAGGTCCATGTTACGTTACATAGATAACAATGCTTAGACCAGATTCATGTCACGTGACATACATAACAAGGCTTAGACCAGGTCCATGTTACGTTACATAGATAACAATGCTTAGACCAGGTTCATGTCACGTGACATACATAACAAGGCTTAGACCAGGTCCATGTTACGTGACATACCTAACAAGGCTTAGACCAGGTCCATGTCACGTGACATACATAACAAGGCTTAGATCAGGTCCATGTTACGTGACATACATAACAAGGCTTAGACCAGGTCCATGTCACGTGACATACATAACAAGGCTTAGACCAGGTCCATGTTACGCGGCATACCTAACAAGGCTTAGACCAGGTCCATGTTACGTGACATACCTAACAAGGCTTAGACCAGGTCCATGTCACGTGCCATTAATAACAAGGCTTAGACCAGGTCCATTTTACGTGAAATATATAACAAAGCTAAGACCAGGTCCATGTTACGTGACATACATAGCAAGGCTTAGACCAGGTCCATTTTACGTGAAATATATAACAAAGCTAAGACCAGGTCCATGTTACGTGACATACATAGCAAGGCTTAGACCAGGTTCATTTTACGTGAAATATATAACAAGGCTTAGACCAGGCCCATGTAACCTGACATTAATAACAAGGCTTAGACCAGGTCCGTTTAACGTGACATACATAACAAGGCTTAGACTTGATGTTTTAAAGGTCGTCATGATTTTGCTCGAATAATGCGGATATAACAACATTTGGGATATAACAACATTCACTCCTTCGTTTATAGTAGTAGTAGGCAATTGCAGGAAGTCATCCTTCTTGAAAGTGAATTCGTTATAACAGTATTTAGCTTCTTATGCGCTCCATAACGTCGTATCTACTCCCCCAGCGCTCTCTCCTCCTACTGGATCACACACCCTAACAACACCTTCATCAACAACGTGGCCGCAGGCTCAGATGTGAGTATACCATCACAGCGTTCATCTTATGAATCCTTGGATTGAAAGAACGAGAATATCGTTTCTGTCTATATTGTTTTTTTTCAGAATACAGGATTTTGGATCCTTGCGTCTCGTCACCCCCTCGGCCCCTCCCGACAACGCCAGCAACAGAGGGGGCTGGTGCCTGAGTTCCATGCCATGCAGACAAAGGTCAAAGAATTCAGAAACAACACGGCTCACTCTAATATGAATGTACGTTCCAAACCGTTTCATATTTCATAAAGTATATAGACTTAATTGTTCTTATTTCTTATGTCTTGGTAGGATTCTCCTCATGATCAGTCCAGCTCCCAGTTCACTAAGCAACCTTAGCCTACAACTAAAGTCCTCTTAGCATCATGCTGAGATAGAGTTTGTTTTTTAACAGATTAACACTGTTTTACGCATCTGTATCACATCTATATCACATCTGAAACCACGTTCAGGTCTCACAGTAGTATATTCTGATCTATAGGCAGGGTTCAACATGGATGACGAGGTATCTATCGGAGAGGTCTTCGACGGCGATTATGTCCCGGAGAATGGTATCGTGTCAGCACGTGTGTCCCACTCACCGCGGAACCCACCTGGTGATCCGGACGCAGCGTTAGACAAGTCCTACCTGTACAGGTATCTTATCGATCACAGCTGAACCAAATTGAAAACAAAGTGATTTAAACATTTCACTATGTTATGAGCGAGTCTGCTAACCGCTACATAGATTTAAATGGTATAAGCACGGTACCTTAACTCGTTTTACAACGTCGAACATTGAATTAACCCTCACACATGATGCCTGTGTTTACAATATGAGCACCATCTGAATACCCAGTACCTTCTAGTATCAGCTGCCTGGACGGAAACACATGGCCTGCCAGGCCCACGTGACAGTTCATGTTATTTAGGTAGCATGTCAAAGGATACATCACTCCCATTTGATAAAGGTATAATTCTCCTTCCTGTACAATCAATATTTTACAGCCTACTTGTATAGAATGATGACTCACACTGACTGTTAAAGAAAGGTGAAATCCACATGCAGTCTGTGTGATGTACATGAAACCTCATCACTCCTGATGTGTCTGTCCACCATACAGTATACATATCAGGTTTGGGATTTGTAATTTATATTCTTTCGCCCCTGCTGTCTACCAACTGTCAACAATGTCTTTTCTTGCCAGTTTCACGGGCTACAAAAATAGAGAGTTGAATGTATGGACGAAAGGGGGAATAACCATCATGGACAGTTTCACGTAAGTAAATCATGTATATCAATCCATGTTGTACTGTGTATCAATCCATGTTGTACTGTGTATCAATCCATGTTGAACTATGTATCAATCCATGTTGTACTGTATATCAATCCATGTTGTACTGTGTAGTAATCCATGTTGTACTGTGTATCAATCAATGTTGTACTGTGCATCAATCCATGTTGAACTGTGTAGCAATCCATGTTGTACTGTATAGCAATCCATGTTGTACTATGTATCAATCCATGTTGCGCTGTATATCAATCCATGTTGAACTGTGTAGTAATCCATGTTGTACTGTGTAGTAATCCATGTTGCACTGTGTAGCAATCTACGTTGTACAGTGTAGCAATCCATGTTGTACTGTGTATCAATCCATGTTGTTTTGTATATCAACCCATGTTTTACTGTGTAGCAATCCATGTAGCACTGTGTAGTAATCCATGTTGAACTGTGTAGTAATCCATGAAACACTGTGTAGCAATCCATGTTGTGTGTGTATCAGCCTGTGTCGTACTGTATTGGGGAAATTTGATCGCCATGCCACCCTCAAAGACATAGGTGTCCCGCAATGCCTTGCAAACAAACAGTAGAAGCTAAACGCAAATATTATATCAGTTTTAAGTGTGAGGAAAGCCAAACGTGATGCAGGTCTTTCACAATTACCACTTTGGCGAAACCCACAAGCACGGGTATGGTGCTGAAAAATCCAGAAAAATTATCGGGGAGAAAGGAATTCCCGCGATCGTAGTTTTCTGACAGCATAGGGTACGCAACTCTTTACAGCGAAATGCGGCGCCTTAGACGACTGAAATACCAGATGATCGCAAAGTACATTTAATGTCTATTTAGCACTGCAAGGTCAGCCTAACGGGCTGATATACAATAGATTACATGGACATACAGAATTAAGTTACATACTTTTCACGTGCATGTTTCTTACTTACTTCAGTCCCATACCCACCTCTCACAGTAAACTGACACGTCGGCATATAACTGAGAGAAATATAAACCGGATTAACCAATTGAAGTCACTTGCGAAACACAACGAGGAGACGTCTTTAATTTAATTTGCTCGACGTGGTAATTTCGAATACCGAATTGTGTTCAATGTTATAACATGGGGAGTTCTACCTTCCAGACTTGCAGACTCCCCGGTCGGCTTGACCATGTCGTGGGGGGAGAGTGATACCTACACACAGATCAGCAACTCCTTGTTTATAGGGGAAACAGACAACAAGGGGCTGCCTGTGGCACCGTTTGGTCGATCTGTGGCCACATCAAGGTACGATAACACTGCTTATCTTATTTCATGGCTGTAATTTAGTAAGATAGGTCCCACACAACCTATTGCTTGTCGCCCATTGCATTTGGTGATCGGACAGTGTGTCATGTCCCGACCTTGATATTGCGTGATAATTTAGTCACTCTCCAGGCCCCGATTCAAATATATACAGTCCGCTATGGTATAGCTGGAGCTTGGCTGATCGCGGGCGTCACGATTAGGGGTATATACGACAATATATAGTCCAAACATGCTGAAACGCAATGGAAAGGCAGTTCCAATCTATTGGAAAGAAGTAATCATATGTATGTCTTCTTTGATTTTCTGCACCAAATAGACACTGATTTACCTGATTTCGGCTAAAATACTAATGATTATTGTTGATTGTTCCTCGTGACACAATAGCATTATTAACGCAATAAATTTATAATCATGGTGCTAAACGAGTGGCTGGAGAAACGTTTTATACGCTTATCGTCATTATCGTCACATCCATATTGCCGCGTTGTATTTTCAACCGCCCTAATAACACATCTTTATTGGACAATCAGAAGCAAGTATTCTCACAGCACCATGTGCCTATGATTCCAGTGTGGAGCCACTTCAGGGTGTCACGTTCTACCAAGGTCCAGGGTATGTCAGCAACTCATTCTTTGATAAATACGTGACAAAGATATCAGGAAGCACCATCAGATACGCCGGTGCCGTCAGCGTAAGGCGCAGCAGCCACTACCCCGTCAGGGCGAGTTCCAGCGTGAAGGGAGTCAAGTTTGGCTTCTGTGACGTGGTAGGCTCAGGGACACCGATGTGTTCACTGTTTACTTTCACAATCCTTGGATACCTTTCTAACATGACCAGAGTTATTCATAATTTAGTTTCTTATGCTGTTAATTCATATTTGGTAGGCAGTGACAGTTTGAAGCCATTCTATATACTACTCAGTGTTTCATAAGGATCATTTTGAAATGTGTATGCTGAGCACAGAAAATCATTTGCACAAACACAAAGTGTTAAATATGATATGGTGGTCTAAAAATATAACTGGTGATTTATTTGTAGAATATGTCATTTTGAAAGGGATGCTATTGAACACAATTCATCGATATATGACCCTTTCGTTATTATAAAGGTTCAGGTTTACGTTTACACTTCAACTGTTCTTACTCATGTGTTGTCCTTCTAAGTAGAAGTTAAGCACAATGTCAGTTTGTCAAGAATGCTTGCAAATATCTGGAATTATTCTGATATTGAACACAGCTCACAACCCTGACAGGAAGAATTCTACAGGCTAAATCTAGGAATTAAAGTCTTAAAATACTCATCAGCAACATTCATCTTACATTTGGGTACCACTTTCTTACTCTTTATATGTTGTATTATGGTAATTACAATACATTGACCAAAAAAACGAAAAACTTGTATCAGTTCAATCAGTAACAAACTCATTGTTTACTCAAAGCAATCTTTCATTTGCATTTGTGGTTGAAATATGAATATTATACAACGGTGTCGTACTCCAGGCAGATTAGAATCTAGAGTAATGAAACAACACATCGTCGCCTTGTTTACACAGAGTGAGGGCAATTGGGCCCTGAATGGGGATCCATCCTATCCATTGTTTGACAACATAGACGGCAACCGGCAGAACAACTTCCTGGACGTCGACGGCAGCGTCTCCGGGACTCCGGGGACCCAGTTCGTGCCGAACACACGATTCCTCACCACCAACCAATGTGACTATAGGCAGGACTCGAACTTCGCCGTGTGCCCTCACGACTACGCTCGGGTACTACGAACCTCTAGCATCTCAAAGATAATTAACATCTTCTAACAAGCCATTATTTCTTTAGAGTCTTAGCTATTACGGAACCTGTGTCCATGTTAAGTCCCTACCTGATTACCAGATATGAACTATTGACTTCAATTGTAATATCATTTATTCCTAGCCATGAATACGACATCATATTGACAAATGCTTAAGGTGGGGTCAATATACCCATATCACGGCATGGTAATAGTATGTTTACCATGTCACACAGTGAATCCCTCGGTTGTATTAGGAACAAATATATTGTCAAGGGATCCACGTGGAAAACGTCTATATAAAGCACAATATGATATCAGACGAATGTACATTTTTTTTCTCTCAGGATTCCAAGCTTGTCGTAAACGCCGATTAAATTGCTGATTGTGTGGTTGCAATGTGTGACCTGTTTGTGTGTGATCGCACCGTGACGGTGTGAGTCACCACCTTGCCTGGTCCTGACTCCACAGACCACAGTGGTATGGGTGAAACATTGCTTACACCTGGTATAATCACTATTTGATAGTGATTCAGAAACACATGCTCGTGATATGGTCGGAATCGTACAATTGGCAGAGAATTCCTATGAGCTTGGAAGGGGTTTTGTCGCTTTTATTTACTCATGTTCTCATATTTGCTGTACACAGGTTGTATGAGTGAGGAGCTCCTCTGTTGTAGGTGCTGTTCACTGGAGACGGGGCCCTAGACACTCTCCGCCAGAACTTCCCCATGTTTCTCCGCCGTGACGACAGGCCAGACGACCCTTTCTCCGTAGAAGGTACATATCACATGAATACCTTGCTTTATTTTTCAATATTTATTGTTTGTATCACTGCTGTATATCTAGGGTCGTAGCATTCTTCTGTCAGTTTATACCCTACTATTAACTACTATATACCCTGCAATAAACTAAACACAGCTGACCAGTTGTTTTGATGACATTCTGTTTCTGACATTTGTTTCTGCCATCCTAAGCTACACTCTTTCGAAGAACACTGCCAGGATTTTCTGCTCTTTCTCTGTTTGAGATATTCTGATTTATTTCCCACGTGGTGAAGATACAGGTGGTAAGATACTAAATCCGTACGTCACGCGTGTGTCGTACTAGGTTAACCTTGTTTCATTCGTTTTGATTGGATAACCGTGACCTCTGTCACACCGGGGCTACTTTTGTCATTCATTAAAAATCGCGAGACGGCATTCATTTTGCAACTACAAGGCAGAACTAGAAGCAATCTCATTATCTTATCAACAATATGCATGAAAGCAATGTACTCTGTGATGTAGGTGTTTGGGGAAACAACTATTTGGTGATAAAGAAGAAATCCTACACAGTCTACTTTAATGGAGCGTCACCGTTCACAGTGCAAGTCAAGGGGCATAACTTGGGAAGGTAAGCAAACATCCGTGCACAGGGTTCAGCTACTACTGCTACAGTAGTAGAAGTAGTAGTAGTGCTGCAGTTGCTACCACTACTTCTACTACTGCTGCTGCTTCTGCTTCGGCTGCTACTACTACTGCTATTACTATTACTACCTCAGCTACAAGTAAAGCTACTACTAATATTTGTGCGGGAACTACTTCCGTTGGGGAAGGTATCCTTAGGTTTGTTAACGATTGATACGATGGATAATGTCGGGAGTAATGGGACGTCATGTGACACTGTTGTGTGTTGTGTTTACAGAGGTGACTACGTGCGACTAGGACTGTGCTACCCTAAGGATGTGACAAGCTTTACATTTCAGAGCTATTATCCATTGATCAATACCGCCAACCCGGCCGTCCAAGTGGACAGCATCAGCGACCTGGACAGCGACACCACGGGGAGGGCCTACTTCTGGGATCAGGCAAGAGGGTAGGCGCTAGTACAGTTCGAGTCCCAAAGGAGATAGATTGTGGTTAACCACATTACACTGATCAATTCATCGCACGCAGTACTACATTTTACATCGACACTCGTATTATCAAGATTTAACCAAAGCCACTCTTTTAGATATTCAGTTACTTTACAACATGTTGGTGAGTACAAGAAGACTTGAGACTACACAACTCCTTACACCATCCATTTATCTGTAGGGCTACAGTACGGCCGCTACATCACCGCAAAATCTCCCTACATAACCGGGACATTACCGTTACGTGGTAGTGGCTTTACCGCGACATTACCTCTACATTACCTTACAATACCGCAACATTACCCTACATAACTGCGACATTACCGCTACATGGCAGTGGCATTACCGCGACATTACCTCTACATTACCTTACAATACCGCTACATTACCCTACATAACCGCGACATTACCGCTACATGGCAGTGGCATTACCGCTACATGGCAGTGGCATTACCACGACATTACCTCTACATTACCTTACAATACCGCTACATACCCTACATAACTGCGACATTACCGCTACATGGCAGTGGCATTACCGCTACATGGCAGTGGCATTACCGTTACATGGCAGTGGCATTACCGCGATATTACCTCTACATTACCGCAACGTTACCGCTACATTACCGCGGCATCTCCGCGACATTACCTCGGCTTTACCGCGGCATTACCGCGGCATTACCTCGGCATTACCGCGGCATTACCGCGGCTTTACCGCGGCATTACCGCGGCCTTTCCGCTGTAGTTCTGCGATACCATGTAACTGGATAGCAGTAAACCTGCTGGTACTAGTGAGAGGAAGCTATTAAGAGCACGTGTTACGTAATCGGTAAAGTGTGAGCGTACTATTGGAACGACATTGTAAAATAATCTGTGAGTATTTAACCTCCTACTTGTGTGACTTTGAGGTTTCGACCACTTTCGTGATTTAAATTAGACACTGTTTTAATGTTGTTTAACCTAACTCATACTCTCACCTTATGTTTCTCTGCCACTCCAGACTGCTGTTTGTGAAGGTTTACTCTGATGCCGAGCGCATTGACGGCGAGCACTGTCCCGGTCGTCGTTGTCAAGCAATCAAGATTACCAGGAACGGCGGCAGCAACAGCAGCGTGGACTGTTACGCCTCCGCATACGACGGAACGTACAACCGAACCGAAGACGTATGTTTTATCAGATTGTATATCCGATGTGTGTGGGGCGTTCGGGTAGCCTGGTGGTTTAAGCGTTCGCTCGTCACGCCGAAGACCCGGGTTCGATTCCCGACATGGGTACAATGTGTGAAGCCCATTTCTGGTGTCCCCCGCCGTGATATTGCTGGAATATTGCTAAAAGCGGCGTAAAACCATACTCGCTCACTCACTCCAATATGGGTAGCTGCTTTTATTTTTTATGCAATGTAAATGCTAACCTGGGGTGGTGACGCTCGGTAACTGTGGTCATGCGTCATCGTATCCCGACAGCGTGGGCCCTCGCTCATGATGTTAACCACTGGTTTTATTTGTCCAGGTGTACAGTCGCCTTGAAATGGCTCGAATATTGTTCTCAGCGGCATAAAACAACACTCAATGTGATGAGTCATCAGTGAATATGGGTACAAAGTAATTGAAGGCGTTGAGTCGCCAAACGCTGATGAGAACACCCCGCTGCACTATATTGTTGACGTTGACATTTCTGTTGTAGGCTGCGGTGAACATTCCAACAGCCAAAACCTGCGTCAAGACTTCTTCCGATGTAAGTGTTTAACATCTGTATCATGTTTCCATCTTGACATGACTGGTAAACTATCTGTACGTCCTTATAATGTATATTTTGATTCCTTAGTAAATAAAAATCGGATCCAACGAACACTGAACGAAATAATTTATGTCCCAATCGTGGAAACGATGGTGTTTCTTTATTTCGTGATAAGTCTGATGTTCGAATGACCAAGAACTCTGACGTTTGATGTTGCATACAGGGCTATGGTGCGGAAGTAGAGCCAGACTTCTTCGAGGTTGCAGAATCCAACACGCCTACCTGTGTAACTGGAGGTGTCCAACCAGGTAACACCTGCGTTAAACATACTCAACCAGGTAACACCTGCACTAAACCTACACAATCAGGTGACACCTGCACTTAACCTACACAACCAGGTAACACTTGCACTAAACCTACACAACCAGGTAACACCTGCACTTAACCTACACAAACAGGTAACACCTTCATTTAACCTACACAACCAGGTAACACCTTCATTTAACCTACACAACCAGGTAACACCTGCACTTAACCTTCACAACCAGGTAACACCTTCACGTAACCTACACAACCAGGTAACACCTGCACTTAACCTTCACAACCAGGTAACACCTGCACTTAACCTTCACAACCAGGTGACACCTGCACTAAACCTACACAACCAGGTGACACCTGCACTTAACCTACTCAACCAGGTAACACCTGTTCTTAACCTACACAACCAGGTAACACTTGCACTAAACCTACACAACCAGGTAACACCTGCACTTAACCTACACAACCAGGTAACACCTGCACTTAACCTACACAACCAGGTAACACCTGCACTTAACCTTCACAACCAGGTAACACCTGCACTTAACCGACACAACCAGGTAACACCTGCACTTAACCTTCACAACCAGGTAACACCTGCACTTACCCTTCACAACCAGGTAACACCTGCACTTAACCTACACAACCAGGTCACACATTGTCACCTTAAACCAACTATTTTGGCAGCCATGGTATGCCACGATATATGTTCGGGAGTAAGTCAAACTCAAACAGGTTGAATTTCGAGGTGGAGAGATTATCATTCGTAATACGCTAAAGCGCTCGGTTCCAAATAAAAATTTCTCATCTTCACTTTGACTACCTCAAATTTTAAAACAGTAGGTGTATCTCCTAATCTACATCGTGAATAATGTTTCTTTTGCCAGAGCTAAAGGGATGCTACGGGGAACGCTATGAGCCGAGGGACCTCCCTTATGCCTATGTATCACTACCCACATCCTTGACCGTTGATGTATGTGTCACAAGGTGCGTTGACATTCTAGCTTCCAGTTCAACAAATGTGCTGCCCAAATGTATTGAGGAATGTATGCATATCAATCTAACCACTAGAAGCGTAATAAGTATAAAAAAATATGTAATGATAATATAGTTCCTGGTTGGATAAGAAAACGTACCTGACATGTGTTTGTGTTCCTGGTAATCTGAGTAGCCCTGTCACCCGTGTTTAGATGTCATACAAGGGGCTATGCTTTCGCTGGAGTTTCCAACGGGCGCGAGTGTGCTTGTGGGGATGCATATGGGGGATACGGCGCCAGCAGTGACTGCAACAAGCCCTGTGTTGGGGACAACGACGTCAACTGCGGGGGCTACAAGGCTGTCGCTGTATATACAACCGGCATAGGTTCGTGACAAAGTCGTCCGTTAAGAGGCCTTAGTATACCCGCCTACTGTTTCTCAAGTATTTTAGTTGCAAGACATTTGACTATTTCACTAAAGTATCATTATAGTTCAGAATGTAGTTGTATTAGTTACAATCGTGAGAATCTTACCTTTTAATTCGTCGAGTGTTACGTGTTCAGACGCCCTGTAACGCTGGTCACTTTGTTTGTTTTTTTTCCATCTTAAACAAGGACGAAAGTGTTAAGAAAATAAATAAACGTCTCAGATATGTCGAAATTAACCGGTTAACATTCCGATACATCTAACGTATATCTATATTTATTTTGGAATGGCAATCTATGGACTAATTTTACAAAGGGTACATTCAAAGTAGGCCTTGATTTGTATTCTAGCCGAACCTGCATCTTTTGATGCATGTGGACCCGACGGTTCTGGCGCATCGATTGATGGGAAATGTTTCTACCTCACTTCCGGTAGTTATTCTTTCGTCGAAGCTCAGCAAGCATGTGTCGATCTTGGCGGAAATCTTGCGACCATCGACTCAGAAGATGTACAGGTTAGCGGATGTGTTTGTTTTGTATTTATCATGTTCTTTGAAGACTCGTGATAACTTATTCAGAAGGATGCGTGTTAGCTGATCTCTACAGGTGGCCGTTTAGACGACTTCTCTATTTTTCAACACACGACATGATTAGCATTGACTATGTTAGATATCCTCACCGTAATGATGAGTGCAGTTAAGAAATAATATTGTGTACATTGTGTCTATTTGTTTGTTGTGTATGTGCAGCAGGTACTGTTACATGTAACTGAAAGGGTCAGTATAGATTAGTTACACTTGTGCAGGTTCAAGTAGCCCGTTACATGCGACCGAAGAGGACAGATGCATGGTTTGGGCTGAACGACATCGTCGACGAGGGTGTGTTTGAGTTTGCTGATGGTTCACCACGGGGCAGCTACAGTAACTTCTTGTCAGGACAGGGCACTTCCCAGTTCCAAGATGGCGTAGGTGAGGACTGTTGTTATTCTCCAGAGCTGGATGGGCCGCGAGGTGATTTTCTGATGCTTTCGAGCTGGTCGTGTCAGACATTACGAGTGTTCTAAAGTACCTGTTAAAGATTCCCTGTCAAACGCTGACTATATCACCTAACATCGCCGCTTGTTTCCTGATCTCTACACCATGTACTGTAAAATTACACGAATCGGATAAAACAATATGGCGCTATCACGAATCTAGACCTTGTGCAATACGAATGTGTCGAAATTATTTCACAGGCAGCTGGACCATTGTTCCATTAAGAGTTAACTGCAGAAGAGGTTAGACACACCGTTTATGTCTGCTTGTTCTGTCAGTAACCCGAACTATTGATATAATGTTATTAATGTGTGATGTGTTTCTTTTTCAGCTTTAATGGCAGACAGGCTTTACCTGTGGTTTGATCAGAACGTGGACAGCAGCTTTCAAGCTTTATGTCAACTGCCACTCACCACCACGCCAGGTAGATACGTACTTCATACAGCATTCACGTACAGTTCATCATAATTAACTACGATGTTACTGAGACCAACTATTGGTTTACGAAATCATCAGTAGATTGGTTAGGAAAATACAAGTGGCTTGTTTCGGCTGTAGATGTGGAAGGCTGCGGGCATCACGGCTATGGTCAGCAGGTAATAACGACTGGAGGAGGATGTTACCTGGTCCACAACACTCCGGGCACCTATGACCAGGCCATGTTTGCCTGCTACACCCGACGGGGCAGTGTGGCAACCGCGTCTGATACTCAGATGTTGGTAGGTATATCTTACATCAAGTGTTGGTAGGCGTTACTTACATCATGTGTTGGTAGGTATATCTTACATCAGGTGTTGGTAGGCATTACTTACATCAGGTGTTGGTAGGCATTACTTACATCAGGTGTTGGTAGGTATATCTTACATCAGGTGTTGGTAGGCGTTACTTACATCAGGTGTTGGTAGGTATATCTTACATCAGGTGTTGGTAGGCGTTACTTACATCAGGTGTTGGTAGGCATTACTTACATCAGGTGTTGGTAGGCATTACTTACATCAGATGTTGTCAGGTGTTGGTAGGTTTATCTTACATCAGGTGTTGGTAGGCATTACTTACATCAGATGTTGGTAGGCATTACTTACATCAGGTGTTGGTAGGTATATCTTACATCAGGTGTTGGTAGGCATTACTTACATCAGGTGTTGGTAGGCATTACTTACATCAGGTGTTGGTAGGTATATCTTACATCAGGTGTTGATAGGCGTTACTTACATCAGGTGTTGGTAGGCATTACTTACATCAGGTGTTGGTAGGCATTACTTACATCAGATGTTGTCAGGTGTTGGTAGGTATATCTTACATCAGGTGTTGGTAGGCATTACTTACATCAGATGTTGTCAGGTGTTGGTAGGTATATCTTACATCAGGTGTTGGTAGGTATATCTTACATCAGGTGTTGGTAGGCATTACTTTCATCATGTGTTGGGAGGTATATTGTACTTCAAGCTAAACCCGACGGGGCACTTTGGTACGTATTTATTCATTAAACCTAATCTCAAGTGTTATATGTTACGCTGGTTATGTTTAACTCAAAGAATAACGAATGACACGAATTGTCTCTTCTGCTACTAAGGCTGACATCGTGGAACACCTCGACGTGTTCGGCCAAGAGATAAACTACTGGGTGGCGAAGGAAGGCAGGGTTTATTATGGTGAGTATACGTGATAGTGTACAGAATTCTATGTCTGCATGAGTCTTTGAGGGTGTCATCACACATTTGAAATTATTGTATCGGACGCAGCATTTAATGGGGACGATGTTTACCTGGTCTGGCTTTTATGCATATGTTGACTTCATGTGATATTTGGGTTGTCTACATATTTTCCAGAACTGCAACATGCGACATCGTACAGCAAGCAGTCGGCGGACAAACTGAACTTAAACGGAGTGGTCTGTAAGATAGGTGAGAATAATACCTTTCCTACATGTACAATGAACACCCGTTAGTGGGGACGACCACTGTTAGAGATGTCCACGTGAGATATGTTCGTCCAGAACCAAGAGACATTATCCCGGAAATTATACCTTTGGTTTGAGCTGCACACGGAGTTGATCAGTGAAAGCCATAGGAAACCTAACGGTGTTTCGTCTTACCATTCATTTATTGAGTGTTTTACTTGATTATTGTAAATCGATGGGGTATTTTTTTATTTCAGAAACACTTACAGACAGCACACCCTGTTCTAGTGGTAGGTAACTGAAAGTATTTTATTTTTTAGTCTGGTGACCACGTTTGGAAGGACATCTTAAATTGATTTTGAGAAAATGTGAGCTTCGAGGCGTTAATATAAGGTCTAACGTGTACAGGGAGGATCTATTTATATCCAAAGAGAGCATAGAATTCACATATAAAATAAATAACGGCATTACTCGACTACTACACTGGAAGCACCGTGTTTGGTATGATGAGGGTGGAGATGCGTGGGATGGGATGCGAGGAGACGTACATATAAAAGTACTGTTCTATTATTTCAGAATTATAACCATTGTCTTAAAAGTATTCTGGTGTTATTCTGTGATATGATTCCAGGTACATTCTGTATTTCAGACTGGTACTACCGCGATGATAACTGCTATCTCACTGTGCGACGATGGGCCACCTTCTCTGCTGCGTCCGCCTTCTGTAACCAGTGAGTTCTCCATTCAGTTACAACTGGGCGTCTATATGAGAGTCTTTATAGTCCCCTGGAGATAGTGTACTATAATGTCGCCAGAGTGGATTCCGGGGAAGCAAAGATACGAAGGTTCATCGAGTGGTCAGATGTGATGACCTGACGGATAGTGTGTCCTCATGTCCCACTGACACTGATCGACATGGATCGTGTACATCAAGGACAATCAATAACAGGACGTGTCTCAAAAAGATTCACACGCAAACAGCTACTGTAATATTTCTACTGTTTATTGAATGTTGTTATCAATTAAGGATTGACTGTATTACACAGTCAATGCTTATAATTAAATTCGACAGCGTAAAACATGTTTTATCTACAATAGTTTAACCAAAAACAGATGTATCTATCAAAACAGACAAAAATGACGAGATTGATAAACATTCCAGGTGTAGGAATACAAACTGTGGCGTGACATGAATCAGGTGATCGTTTAATTTATGCACATAACTTGACACGCCTACACGGTCAGTAGCCAATCAACGGAGAGCAGGATCAAAACAATGTTCAATGACCTGTGAATTAAGACAAGTGGCAAAAAGAACTGCAACAGTCAGACTGTAACGAACCGGGAGAAATATGTCCGGGAGAAGGCGGCTGTTTCAAATTACATGGTCAGTTACCGCCAGATTCAAACATTGCTTCCCTGATTACGGTAAAACACAGTTGGAAAAATGCTAGTTAGAAATGAAACCCGAAGACAAGATAGTTGAACCGAGGCGAGCGGGGAAAAAACAGGCGAGCGGGCCTGCACGTTTGCTGTTTCATTCATTCTCGGCCTTCGGTTTCAAAGGGTAGTTTGGACAATGAATATGCATGAAAGTCGCTAAATGTCCTGTGCATGACGATACACGTGAGCAGAAAGGGAATGCCCTCGACTGTAATATTGGGATTCCCCGACATTCCGAAGTAATAAAAGTAGTGCGCCTCGGTGAGCGTGGCTTAATTTTTTACATTCATTGGGAAATGAATACAATAACACGTGATTCAGCTAATCAGAATACAAGAATTTCAATGAACACAGCGAAAACTTAATTATAATATGTTGAAACTAATGTTTGGTAAAAATACCACACAGACATGGATAAGTCATGTTGTTATATTCCAAGAACCTTTGGAGGAACAGACTTTCCACGGTTTCTCTATTTGTGTTTTCACATTGAACAATGTCTATGTGTGTGTCCACTGCAAGTCTCATATGAGAAGGTACATGTGCAACATGATGGTTGGCTGGTTGGTTGGTCGGTTTGTTGTTTTACGCCGCACTCAGCACTATTCTAGCTGCAAATCGGCATCGTACCAACGACATACAGATCCTGGCGCGACCAAGGTATACCAGTCTACCCACGACATACAGATCCTGGCGCGACCAAGGTATACCAGTCTTCCCACGACATACAGATCCTGGCGCGACCAAGGTATACCAGTCTACCAACGACATACAGATCCTGGCGCGACCAAGGTATACCAGTCTACCCACGACATACAGATCCTGGCGCGACCAAGGTATACCAGTCTACCCACGACATACAGATCCTGGCGCGACCAAGGTATACCAGTCTACCCACGACATACAGATCCTGGCGCGACCAAGGTATACCAGTCTACCCACGACATACAGATCCTGGCGCGACCAAGGTATACCAGTCTGCAAAGAGAGTTGCAATGCGTTCGGGACACATTTACCATAAGTGACACGATTGGCATAGGGGCAGTTCGTTGTGCAGAGGTGTTTCCTTTAGTCGCAGTTCGTTGTGCAGAGGTGTATCCTTAAGTCGCAGTTCGTTGTGCAGAGGCATGGGCGGATACAGAGGGGGGGGGGGGGGGGGGGGGGGATGCGCACCACCAAAGACAATAAATAGAACTTAATTGTGCACCCCCTCTTTTCAAAAAAGCTGTATCCGCCCATGAGAGGTGTATCCTTTAGTCGCAGTTCGTTGTGCAGAGGTGTATCCTTTAGTCCTGCAAGGCCTTATGATCGTGGTTCGAATCCCAGATTCGTACTGATTGTGGGCTTACCCATCACTAATTCCGTGCTCTCGAGTTTACCATAGTGGTAAACGTCTAAGACCAGCGTTACTCCCGGTTTTTCACATATATTCAACAAACACGCCGTAATATAACTAAATACATTCTCATTCACCAATGACCGTATCGTTCTAGGGGCGACAGTCGTCTTCTCACCGTCCAGGACGACGGGGAAAACACGTTTGTGGGAGGCTATACCTCGACACAGCTGTGGCTGGGTGAGTGACAGGGGAGATTCAATACAACGTACATACGCGTACCTGTTTTCTTGCGTAACACAAACTATGACACTATACGTTCCGTGTATATTATTGCTTAAAGTCTCTGAGATGACGAAATGCACAGAATTAAAACCTGTTTTTTTATGAAGGCATTTCTATTTCATATTACTTCATCGTTGGTGGTATGATCCTCGTTGACGTAAGATCTTAAAAAAAGGCACAATCCTGGTTTTCCAAAGTATGTCGTAGCCATTGAATTAGTGTAGCACAAACTTTGTTCGGGTGATTTGTTTCAGAAATGCGATGGTTCATCGCAATCAAATCGGAAAGAAAAATACCATAATAAAACAGTGTTTTTTCAACATTCATTTAAATGCAGTTTACAACTTTGACAGTTACTTTTTCAGAACTGTTAGGAATTAACTTCTGTGATTTTTATGATACCATTTTCAAAATGACCCTTTCATCATTAGGCCACATAAACAAATATTTCTTATTTCAATTTCTCAAATACTCAAAACTGAATTCACAATTGTATCTTATGAAAACAAATAATAAAGAACTATCGTAATTGCAACTGGGAAAATAACTGTAATAGAAGTCCTAGGGTCGTCGATGTTTAGGGTCGTTGTGGATGTCAAACAAGAAAAATATTAGTTGGCCTTACTTGACTGTTTATGCATATATCATTATAACAGTTGATGTACACTATGTATGTTTGTTTTGTGTGTGTATTTTTAGCTAGTTATAGTTTGCCACCGAATACACAAGGGTGGCCTAAAGCTTACAATAAATCTTTATGTTTCAGACTTCGTCTACAGCGCTGCATCTGGTAACTTTGAGTTGGGAAATGGTTCAACGTCGACCTACACCAACTGGGACGTCAACCAAGGCGGCAGTAACGTCGTCAATGGCGAATGTGCACGGACTAAGCCAAATAACCAAAAGTGGAAAAATGTGCCTTGCACGGAGAAATCGTGGACCATGTGCAAAGCACCTGCAGGGCCATGAACTGATACCGGCTTCACGGCTGTTTCAAACCTGGCCAATAACACATTGAAAGACACAGTAAAATAATTATATTTCTGTTATTGATAAATGTGGTCTGGAATTTGCTGACATACTCAAGTATACCTAACCCCTCAATACTGATTGTAACCGACAACCTGAACTCAAATAAAACAGATTTCCAAACATAGTGTCCCAAGCCAAAGACATGATAACTGACTGCGATACAGAGACGTTTCATCTGGACCATTGAACACAGCTCGAGTCAACCGTAGATGAAATGAGTTCGAGGTATTATTCGAAGTATTGGTATGTTTGCTTCACGTCAACTGACCCGTGAAGATCCGGGGTAGAATAGGTCTTCAGCAACCAATGTTTGCCGTAAAAGGCGACTAACGAGATCGGTCATACTCGCTGACTTTGTTGATGCATGTCACCGTATCCAAATTGCGTGGACCAGTGCGCATGTTTTCAATCACTGGATTATCTAGTCCAGATTCGATTATTTACAGACCGCCGTCATAAAGCTTGAATATTGTTGAGTGCGGTGTTGAACAGCAAACAAACCAACCAAAAACTTCGCGTCAACTGTAGATGTAATGCCACTTTGTGTGTCCGCTTATATATTGGAGAACCGTATTTGTGTAAATGTGTATGCATCTGTGGTTTGAAGGATAGCTGCACAGCAATGTTGAAAAGCGAGTACACATTACTTTATAACAGTAACATGGATTTCAAAACGTCAGTACAAATGAGATAAAACGAGGGGGATTTATGCGTGACAACTTATTTCGTTATTGTGTTTCACATTCACATGTAAATTCCTACATTTTCTTGACAACAATACGGGAGCAGTGGACAATAACACTTTTGTACATAAAACATATACCTTCTCGTTTATGACTGAACATCATGGAGAAAGTTCACGCTCATAATCTTGAACATAAAGTGTTGTGGAACTCGACAGTGTTGTAGATAACGTCGTATGTGCGTCACGCACCAGTGAGACATGGGCAGATTTTTTCAAAGTTCTTCAGTTTTCGTGAGTGTCGTCAGTGTGACGTTGACATTGTACTGGCGTTGATTACCATCTGAGGACCACGTGCACCATGACACATGACACAGCCAACATAGCATGGAGACACAGGTGTGTTCCACAGTCTGCAACAGGAAAACACGTTAAAAGGCGTAACTAATTCATGATATTTAAAAACAAAACAGATGCAGCGCAAAATAAAATCACTCAGATCAAATTATCAAGAATCTTATCCGTTCCCCCGTCAAAATAAAGAAAATAGCCTTAAACAAATTGATACTCTCGCTAATCCACATAAAGTTCCGAACCCGGATGTTTGCCGTTTTCTTGTGAATGGATTCCACTTGACACATCTTCAGTAACGGTACAAGGTTTATATTCCGGATTCACTACCCGTGTATGTCCCCGGAATTCTTCCCCCCCCCCCCCCCCCCCCCCCCCCCCCCCCCCCCCTATAGCACACCTTACTCAATTATATCGACACTTCATGAACAAAACATGTTTTTTTGATTGACAAATGTGTATTAAATTGATAACCTTGTTTTTCTTGATGCAAAGGAACATGAATGGCAAAAGGTTACAATTGAAAAACTACTATTTGAACAACCTTTGAAATCCAGATAAATGTGTCCTTGCATGTCCTTGGTAATCCCCTGTGTTGAGCTGTGGTCAGTTGACACTGCTGTTTGTGATGCCATTGATGCTGCCAAGTGTTGAGTCGCAACGGTTTGTGTGGGTATTGGTGTTGCAGATGTTGTCACTGACGTTGTTGTGGATATCGTCGTAGTTGTCGTGGCTTAAATCACAGACAGACCAGGATAATATAGTTTCTCTTTCCTTGAAATTATATAGAGGTTATCACGCGATTGTGTTTGGGGATGGTAAATATCCTGCATTAGGAATAAACCATGTATTTAGCGAGCCTTGGCGAGCCTTTACCATCCCCAAACACACAAGCGTGATAACCTCTATATCATATAATGTCATTCTTTAATTCTGTGCTTCAAAATCGCTTTCCCTCTCTCACACACATTACCGAAACATTGCGAGTTTTCCTGGAATGCGCGCATTAATATTTACTACGTCACAGGGTAAGTGATGTGTCAATTGGACAGTGACAGTAGCCAATATAATTCCAACTGAAATCTCTTTCTAATACAGTGGCGAAGCATATACGCAAAACAAAAATTGTTTTTAATTGCCTTTCGCGGCAATCCATCGGTCTGTCTGCTAGAGTAACTGCCCTCCGTCAAAGGGAAGCTACTCTAACCCTAGTCTATGAGACGTCACGGCCACGGTCAGACGTTGCTGACACAGTGGACCCATATATATATAAATGACAAGGTACGTCACTCGCCATCTTGGCCGAAGTTGAAATCGGCTGTATCGTTTAAATTAAATGGAAATGTGTGCATGTCATGTTCACAATACCTCCCCATCTCCCTCCAAATACGACCTGCATGCCACAAACCTTTATTTTTGGCAATTTATTACCTATATCGGGTGATTTTATAGAAATATTGGCTCAGTCGCGGCTGTGGGTCACGGAAGTATACAAAAATCTCCGCACTCAATGTTCCTGTGCGGTCTGATTGGTAATGCATGCATGCAGGTCGTATTTGGAAGGAGGTGGGGAGGTATTGTGAACATGACATGCACACATTTCCATTTAATTTAAACGATACAGCCGATTTCAACTTCGGCCAAGATGGCGAGTGACGTACCTTGTCTATTCATACATATGGGTCCACTGTTTCAGTTATATCACTATCCTGCTTCAGGGGCCTGTGGGTCTGTCCTGTCATAACGTTAAGAAGTGTATTCAGATGTAGTCACACAGCGACAGATGTAGTCACACAGCGACGAAACGAAACAGGGTAACAATTCAAACATATTTCGGCCAAATCCAACTATTTTAATTTGTGGAGAAAGGATCAAGCCGCAGAGGTCTACAAGCACAGATATGGCTACTGATCCCGCTTGGCTAGGCCTAGTGCTCTCGCAAAATTGTGTCGAAATTTATATCTCCAAAGTTGCCAAAACGTATAAAATGCCTCAGCTACGTCACAGTAAGACACTGATTTTCAGTATATTAGATTGTTCTTTTGATAATGAAAGCAATTATCTCTGTAGTTTATCCAGATTCCCGATGGTTAAATCTGACTCGATCGCCGAATGACGAGGGCGACGCCATGTTTGTTTATAAACAGTGAAAGTAGTCCCTACTTGACCTTTGATATTTGCATCTCTACCCGCATATGACCCCAACGGATATCGTTTTTATCCGTCGGCTTTATCCTGCCGAGAAACCTACCCATTATATGATAAATGTTGATATCAGACAAGCGCTATCTGTATTTACCTAACTGAAATCATTTTAGGAAGTGTTGTGTACCAGACGTTATTCATTACCATTTAACTCAAAAACTTCATTTAATCGAGCGCATTTTAAACTAGTTTCCACTATTCCCTTGCCTCGGGAAGATGGTTATTCGATGGTGATGTATTTGCTACAGGTATCTTAGTTGTAATTTTGACCTAAAAATTGCAGCGTTTCGGCGGCGATTTTTAGCCTAGTAACGTTTTGATAACGCTTGCAATTCGTTGGTCAAATCCAATTTTCAAGTGTATACTTTCTGTTGCCCGGCAGTTTATAAGGACAGTAGAACAATCAGTATGTCATCATCTGTTCCAGAAAGTAAATAGAACTTTAGGGAAAATACAGAATAAAAAGTATTACTTTTGATGACCCTTACATGACACGTGTACATATGAACCATCAATTTCATTCTAACAACTGGTTTCCCCAGTCAATATATTCTTCTTTGTACGACGATGAGGAGGGCATGCAATGAGCTGTACAGAGTTACGTGGCGTAGTGGGAGATCCGCTAGTCATGTGTTCGAACCCCAAATTTACCTGTTTGTGATGCTTGAGTTCGTGTTCGAGAGTTCAAAGTAATAAACGTCCCCGTCGTATGACAATATAAAATGTCTTATTTTCTTATTTCCCACCAATCTAGCACGCAGTTCTTAAGGACGATAAACATGACAACGTTGTTTATTTATGCTGCATATTCACATGAAAGAGAAAATGACATTGTAAGCCAATAGTGAACAGGTATAGTATCATTTACATGCGAGTTACAACAGATAGTGCTATGACTGTACCAGCGTCACATTCTAACTGCTTGGAGCCGATGTGGGAGATGGCCATCTGGGACGCTGCAGCATCACATACCCCGGTCACTGTCGCCTCCTGGCACCTCTCGTACACAGGCACAGCTCTAAAACAAAGTCCAGATGAAATCACTGAAATCACGGAATTTAGGTTTTAAAAATAAAGTAAACATGCAATTTGAATTAAGTCATGGAAGCATCCAAGATGAAGACACACATGCGCGAACTCATTTCCACTGGGAACGTGTAAACGTAGTGTCCCATTAGTACTGATATATTATCACACGTGCTTTTCTTGTGGTTTGAATAAAGTAAGAATACATGGCAGGGTGCCGGCCGGCCCGTTTCCGTTTGCAAAAACAGGAAACATACATCTCGGATCTTATATCTGTGTTTCTTTCAAACAGTTTTATGGTAGACATTTCCAAATTTGACGCATCGGTGACAAAAATGACGTCCGACACAATTTCCTTGTTTTAGATGTACCATATGTTCCCGTGATTTTAGGTGAACAATTTACTTGCCTTTGCATGTGTTTGTGACGGGTGCCACCGGTTGGGCAGGATACGCTCACCTTTTCGCGAACACCTCGTATCATCACTATTAGATTCATCAACACATGCTCATGATACAGTGGGAATCGTACAATCGAATCTTTCTTATGAATAATGGAAAGGGGTTTGTGGCTTTTATATTATTACAGCATATACACAGTATATGTCTAAGATCAGGTAGACGTTAAAAGACTCTTGCCCTTACTATGGGTAACTTAGAAACTTAGATTGATAATTACTTACACGCATGGGTGTGTAGTGGCAATGACGCCGTCCGCTTCATAACAAGCTACATACTGGGAGAAGCATGCCGCACCTGTACAGGGAGGGCGTGCACAGCAAGGCGTGGAAAAGGTATATATTTACATTGTTAAATACACTTCAACAGTCAAATCACGTAAATCGTAATTATTACTAATTGTCCTTATGTTATACTTACGTCACACAGGCTTGTTCGGGGTGGGTATGTACGTTCTTGTACAAAACGTTACGTGTAATACTCGAATATAGGTTTCCATGTGCAGTATGTGCATGTTTATGTACGCTATGGATTTTGGCAGTGGACGAAGGTAACCTTTAAATCTGCCAGCTTATTATGACTATAATACATTGCTACCTCTATCTCACGGTGTGCATTTACAGGCGTCTACTACTAAAGTTGCGTGTATACATTAAGGTTTTTTTTACCTATGTCGGTTTCATAATGACTGGCTAATTGTTTTCTGGGTTTTTTTTCAGTACAACTATATGAGAACAACAGACAACGGTTAAGACGGCTTATTACTCTCTCATCTAAGCTTGCACCCACCTGATAACAGAACCCTTGGCGTGGTTGCTGAAACAGAAAGACCCGTTCTCAGGGCAATCGTATGCCAATATCCTACTGAACCGTTTACACATACACCTTTACATGATATGCATTAACCAGTCACACTTAACTGTATAAACATACGACTATTTCTTGGAACTTTGTCCATTAATGTAGAAGAAGGCCGTGTTGTTATAGACTGCATAGATTGTTACCAGTTAAATGTGGTCTCTGGTGAGAGAAACTATGCAGAGTTATGACCAGTACCTCGATTACATCACGTGTGAGAGGAGATACCAAAGCCCAACGGCTTTCACAGAATGTGTGAGGTGGTGACAAATTAAGGATCATAATCAGATTCGCGGAATCGAACCCAGGACAGGCTAAGTAACCCAAATCTGAACAGCGGTTTCGCGGCCACTTAGATTACTCGGCAACCCGTGCCAGTTAGTCAGGATATACAGTCTGTAGAATGTGAAGACATGAGGGTAACAATCACGCAAGGTTATGCCCGTAGCCATAGGTTACAACACCGTCAAGAAACACTGTTAGGCCAACAGTCGTGGTATTGTCGCTCACAGTTTTAGGACTAATGTCAATAGCAATTGAAAGGGGGATTCAGTTATTATCTGTAAGATGTATGTGGGCGTTTATCCGCACGACTCCTACTTACCAAAGTAGCATCCTTGTTCTGAAGCAAGCCTCTGCTTCTCAGCGTTGATGAAACTGGTGGCGTTTTGTAGATTTTGTACAGAACAAAATGTTGACAGGCCGTTAGTGCAGATCTCGTAGAAGTCAACCAAACTTGCGTGTAAAGGTGACAAGAATGCACTAGACTATTTAAACACTGTCGCGGCATAAAGCATTCATACACGTCAGCGGTTCCTAATAGAAATTTAATAAAGTGGTTGTGTTTGCAAAATTCAACAAGTTAATTTATTCTTCACTTTAGGCCAAAGTGAGAGACAGAAGACTTTTGTGTCATAGATGAATGTTAACAGTAGTACGATATTCAGGCAGGACATCAATCTGATGACACCAATTACGTTGTCTATGTGTTCTTACCCACATGTGGTGGTTGTAGCTTTAGACTTGCAGTCCTCAAACAGTTTGGTACATTGGAAGGCTGCAAAACATAAAATCATCGACCTTACCACAACCAGTTGTCAATGCACTGATAAGAATAATATAAATACGTATCATTATGTATATATTAAGAATATACATTTAATTCGTGATCTAGCCATGTTTTCGACGGTATCTCAATACATGCACCTGACACAACACAACCTCGTTAAACCGGAGCAGTGGAGTGTATCACCCCTTTAAATAGTCAACATGGGACAGAGAGTACAGACAGAATATTACTTTTTAAAGTGTTTCTGACATATTATAACACACAAATTGATTCATTTACTGGATCGCAATTGGTACAAAAGAGCCTACAGGTGCTGAATGTATTAAAAACGTAGTAGTTCACAGTTTTTGCTCACCAGGATAATCTGGACTTTGAGCTATGTTGTCTGAAACGAAATCGTGTGTTGTATCAATTTTAATATTTAAGAATTGAATTCACGGGAGTTATTAACGTAATGTCAGGTATGGGAACTGGACAAATCGGCCTGCTATCTTTACATCTGATTTTACATTTTACCTCCATAAACCCATCATTATATTGAAGTCAATTCTTATAGATAAATAGGTAAAAAATAATAACATCACACAGAGATTATTTGATGAATTCACAACGTCAACGCCAGAGCTAGAGAATAACCAGTCTGGGTTATCTGCCGATATAGATTACATTGGGCGTAAAAGGCAAAATAGCTGTGAAAATTATATGAATGGGTCACTGAAAATCAGTTGACACCAGTTGTGGGCGTGGCCTAATTTGTTTTCAGTTTATGGAAGCATAAACTCAAAAATAATTGCTTAGTAAGTCAATCAAATGACATGGAATTACTTGCAATCGACTGATAGTAACATACATATAAATCATGCAGACATTGATATTTCTTTCCAATAGTGATCATCAAGGTACTCCTGAGGGTAGGGCCTGGTACAAGCAGCTGCATTACTTGTATTAAGGACGAAAACGTGGCCAGGCTAAAATGTTGTTGAGAGGTTGGCAGAAAGCTTTTATACTTCTTATTCTAACATGGACGCAGTCCTGTTTTATCAGAAGTACAAACATGACAAGCATTTTGTCTAACGGACTTGTTTCAGAATCTTGAAACATTCGCACTCAGTTTTACTCGATGTTGTTCGAACTTCAGTGATGAAAATAATGCAGATCATTTGTTTATTCTAGGATAGTTTGATAACCTGTTTTAATCGTTCGCCAAAGCTCGATTTGTGTGAGGGGCGCCCATGCGTCTTCCTGTCATGTTAATGTAGTAACGTCATTCAAGTAGCAACATTTCCAATGAATACATCCTAGCTGTAAATATCTCATCGGTTTTGTGACAAGTTCTCAAAACACACTAAATAATAACAGTATCTCGTCACACCTACCAAATATACAGTTATTAGGGGCGCCTTCATACTCGGCCTTGAAGCCCTGGAATGCGCCCTCTACCGGCGCCGTTGAGCTACAGGTCAGTCGTACCATCCCCAGACAGTCCAGCTGGTCAGCTGCCAGGCTAATACAGACGGTACGAGAGTTAGTGTTTCGGTACTAAATCAATGTCCAAGACGGAAATACTCACTGACATGATGCATTCAAGTATGAGGAAATAGCACTGTAACGATATATAAATTATACATTGTCATGACCATTAAATTTAACTTAACTTAAATATTATCTAACCTGTTTCACAAGAAGCATGTACATTTCAAGCTACACTTCAAGTAATCATGGCATTTGAAATATTTTGTAAAAAGACGAGCTTATGATACTGTGTCAGTATTGTATGACTGTTTCCCCCCGTCCGGTATCCGTGGCCTATGTTTGTTTTGAGTGTCACCAATACCTTACCGAGTGGTATATTAGCATTCGCCTCCGTTATCACGTCAGTAAACTGTATTATTATAAATTACATAAACAAAACAAATAGAATACTAACTCACAAATACCAGTCGGCGTTCCCGATCGTGACTCGAAATACTTGAAACAAGCCTGTAGTCCCTCCATGCAGGCTTGTACATCGCGCTGGACCAGCAACACTACAGTCAGAACACGGATGAACACTGATGTCTTGGCAACAGGATTCTAACGTGTATTTCAACACATGCATCTATTATTTCCCCATATTATGCAGAACTTAGCTTCCAACAGTTCTGTTTTTATTTTAGTTTTGAAAATAGCTCATGTTTTATGTACCAAAATCATTACACACCTGCAACTCCTGTAACTTGATATTCAAAATTGGTAAGGTGACATGGAGTTGAAAGTCGCGATGAAGAATGTTACACTTGATTGGGATGTGCATGATGCGTGTGTGTGTGTTTGTCTGTGTGTGTGTGTGTGTGTGTGTGTGTGCGTGCGTGCGTGCGTGTGTGCGTGCGTGCGTGCGTGTATGTATGTGTGCGTACGTGAGTGCATGAATGCTTGTGTGTGTGTCTGCTTGCAACAGCCCGGACTTCTAGTTTTAGCCCACTGAGATCCCATGCCGTAGTTTTAACATGGACATCCCGCTCAAACACAGCTAGCATACTGTCTCCGCGCCGACCAGTCCTTGTTTTTATCCCTTTAATGCCGAGCGCTAACCAGAGTTACAACATCTTTGTACGTCGTGTCGGTATGATGCGGGCCAGGGGATCGAACCATCGACCTTCCGCACTCCTACCGAACTGAAGTACGGTGCCTTATGTGTGCTATTGTGATACGTGGCTATTTTAAGAACAGGTTATCGTTTAGACTCAATATCTACCTATCAAATGTTTTAAATTGAAGAATTACATTATGTACAGTCGACTGAAGCAAATTATTGCCTACTCGATCTCGACGGATTAGATCAAAGAAACTTTAATTTATGGAATATTATTAGTTATTTACACGTCAACATCTATCTGATTTAAAAATACATACATGGTATGTATAATTAAGAACATCTTACCTCCGATGCCGACTGCTAGGAAGAGGATACGTGTTCCCATTGATATAGATAACAGCAGCACCCACGTCTGTTATATAAATGACATCATGGCGGCATGTCTCACAGTTTAAACAGCGTTCCTAGGTGGGCCGACATAGATATGTACAACACGATGGCCATTCGTTATGATGACTGACAGGCTGTCAGGCGTTCTGCTAGTGAGTACCCGTCCCTGAGAGTCTGTGTAGTGATCTCAAGAGCAGGAGTATGTGTGTGTCAGTTACGCCAATACTGCTATATATGACGTAGCCGTCTGTGAGCCTGCTGTAGAAAGGAATCCCTAAGGACTCCCAAACACGACATGACAAAGTGGACACGTGTAGTTGTAGGTTCGACATTGTTCAAGTAAATCTACTGTATGGTGTGACGTGAGGCATGATGGAGTAGGTTCCTGTGTCTGCTGCCTCGGTCGTATCTGGTACGTGCTGGGGTAGTTACCATTGGCACGAATTCAAAGTACATATACGATTCCTCTAATGAATGTTTGTGTTCTATATTAGCAAACAGTGTACTCTACATAAATGTGAAAATCATACTATGGTGAATGGTAAACAATGCCTATGCTGAATGTGAATGTACTATGGGACTATGTTGAATGGGAATATATATATTAAGATAGCCACTGAACAATGCATTTGTTGAATCTTGATTGTCACCATGAGGAAGGTCAACCCAATACGTCGCTCGTTAGACGCACACAAAACACCCGCAGCGTAAATGAAAATTAAACGGTTTTCACTGAATTACATTGAACGGAAAAGATACAAAGATACAAAGGCTAAAATACTTGATTACTGAGTGTCACGAGAGAGTATCACTGGAAGTTCACGCCGTACATAGATAAGTGATCATGAATAAATACGTTGATACACCACTGAACTGTCTAGATGCAAATAAACATCCACTAGGAGACATGTAAGACTTGTTTGTTCAGTTGAATGGAGACGCATGTGGACCAGAGTGTTCGGACAATATCCCGGAGCAGGTGTAAGTGCCTTCCTTTCATGTAATATATTGTGGAGCTTTGGGGGTGGTGGAGGGAATTCCAGACGATTAGAGATGGTTATGGAATTTTTGAAACTGCAAATGTCCATAATACTGTGTTAGCCACAGACGTGAGAACGAATTTGAAATAAAGTCGAAACAATGTTGTATTCAATTTAATATATTTAGTGGTTATATTGTCATTGTTTTCATATACAACCAAGTCAAACACGTTACAAGAGATGATGAATGGGAGAAAATGTGTTATTCGCATACGTATTGAGAGAACAAGAGATGAAAAGTGTTCAATAATATGTTATTCAAATACGTATTGATCGAATAATGAGAAAAAAAATGGGTCAATTATTTGTTATTCAAATATGTAAATAAGATCATAAAAGGGGTCAATAATATGTTATTCAAATAGGTATTGAGGGACAAAAGATTATGAAAGGGGTCAATAATATGTTATTCAAATACATATTGAGGGACAAGAGATTATAAAAGTGTTCAATAATATGTTTTTCAAATACATATTGAGGGACAAGAGATTATAAAAGTGTTCAATAATATGTTATTCAAATACATATTGAGGGACAAGAGATTATAAAAATGTTCAATAATATGTCATTCAAATACGTATTGAGGGACAAGAGATGATAAAAGTGGTCAATAATTAATATGTTATTCAAATAGGTATTGAGGGACAAGAGATGATAAAAGTGTTCAATAATATGTTATTCAAATACGTATTCGGGGACAAGAGATGATAAAAGTGTTCAATAATTAATATGTTATTCAAACAGGTATTAAGGGACAAGAGATGATAAAAGAGTTCAATAATATGTTATTCAAAATACGTATTTAGAGAAGAAGAGATTATAAAAGGGATAAAAAATATGTTATTCAAAATGAAATGCACTTGACATTTATACAAAGAGCGATTTCTTGTGGACAGTAGTGGACTCCCCGGAGAAGCCTTTATTGGATCATTAACAGCCGCACAATTTAAAACAAGTACTCTCTCATAAAAAGACTTTTCAAACCAATGCTTTGATAAACATATAGATAGTTGAACATGCATTATCTGATACCTCTTCTCCGATGTGGGGTGGACAGACTAGTAGCTGATAGTGTAGACGTCTGCGAATTATGCTTGTAGAACACCATTTAGATCCAGACAACATCCAGTGTGTAATTGATGCCCAATGGAAGGATAACAGAAAACAACAAAACCAGTAGCATTGCACATCTTTTTAATCAAGTAAAATAATTATAGAAAAATAGATACACACTTGGTTATAACATGTTTTACAATTTACTGATACCAAAACGAACATAATCAGTTGTCCCCCCAAACGTGAAAAGGTTATCAGGATGAAGCTATCTCACGAAAACTATTCGTTACCATTTTGTTGATATGGGTGATTTCAAACAGGGGTAGTCTATTTCTATTCTGTTGCTCGAATAACCATAGCTGCATGACTTTGTCTTGTAGGACCCTGCTGTATGGTACTCCCACTGACAGACCGTGTCCAGAATATTGTGGCACATGCAGGAGTTCCCACAAGTCCAGTTTCAAATTGCGCTTTACTTACTAGAGAGTGAGCATCCACAATGAGACTCAGTTAGTCCGGAAGGTACATTTCTAGATTTGAGTATTTTCAGTTTAAGGAATCATTGGAATATCCCTTTGTGTTTAGAGAAATGTTCCCCTCACAGTATTCCTCCGGAAGAGAAGTGTCGTGACAAATGGGATTTCTCTGTACTTGATAACACAATGTCCTCTCATATTAATAATGATACACTTTACAGTACATGTAGGTTTATAGTAAACGTCGATAGGTCTAATACATGTATATACATATCAAACTCTGAAATGTTAGAAGGAAATAATTGTTACATGGTACAAGAATAGAAACATGTCACTCGAAACATTTTCTTCTATTTTCAGCAAAGTTGTATAATTCCTTTTGATACCAGCTAAGTGCAAAATATACGTATTAGCAGGAAGATGACTAGTCCATACATCGGGGTAGGATCTGTGGTCGCTCTGGCCCCAGACACTGAAACAATGACATGTGTAACAGACCGACCATCATATATTTGGAGTTGGGGGTTGGGGTGGGGTGGGGTGTATTTTTTATCTGGAAATTTGATATGGTTTTTAGCTACAACTGTTAAACTAGACATTTTTTAATTGAAACTATGAGCCTGATTATATTTAAAAGAAAAAAACCTTGAAACAATGTCATTTTTCTGGCATAATTATATTTGTCTAGACATTTTGGGGACAGTTTATTGTTTTGGTTAAAATCTCAGACATTTAGAAGTTGAATATAATTAAGACAATACATCTTATGGATAACTACTACTTCAGTATACATATACAACGTTTCAGGACTACTTCTTGCCCCTTCATCAGGTGAATGACAGGGTGGGAGTACATGTTTCAGCAAGGATAGTGAAGGTGTCATCGACCTTTCTGTACCAACAGGTTGACTGGAAGGGGATGGCTAGGGCAGATTCTTCAGTGCCGGTGAGGAATATTTCGGTTATGTGTCTAGATATTTGGGACCACCTTGGAAGGAACTTGTTTTCCCAGGTGAAGTAAGATTTTCTTAAGCAGCTGGAGACGAGGTTGATGATGCCGTCAGTGGTCAGTCTGGTGACGAAGGTGGTGGGCAGTCTGGTGCATAGTTCAACGACATCGTTGCTGACTGTCGTGCATAGAGTAGTACAAAATTGCAGATTTATTGATGAGGGGCATCTTCCTTCACTAAAGGACCTTGGAGGTTGGACAGGTATTGGGAAGAGTTGTCGTCGACAGAACTTCGGAAGCACAATACGATTCTGGTATTTACAAGGCTCTTATGGATGTTAATGAGTGGCTAGGAGAGATGGGGCTTGAGCTTCTTGAAGATGATGGTCCAAGGTCTCTTTGTGTGGTTGTTCTAGTTTGACAGTGGGATCTTTATGGAGCAATTGTTGAGGGTTTTATCTACCAGGTGGCAAAATTCAGGTGTGTCAATACCTACAGCTACTTTGCCATTGCCTGGTTCTCTGATGGTACGGGCGGTGCTGAGGCGGCGGTGACGGTGACAGTGACGGTGATGCTGACGGTGGTGGTGCTGTCTTGTTTGAGATAGAATGTTGCTTGTTGGTTGGGGACAGAGGTTTGGTCTTGCCTTGGTGCAGTTCTTGGGTAGTTTGGATATCTGGTGACGAAGGTAGTCTCATCGATCTCGATTCTGTTGACCTTGTACCCACCTTCCCATAACAACTGGCATGTCCATAAACTCCCTCTTCATTATATACCAACCTTGCCCAACTGGTTTCACTTATACGTCTTGATGTTCATGCCTCGTTATCCACAATGTCCGGATAGTTCGAAGACTAAGGGGGTACGATTCTATCTGATGTCATATGGCTTTCTGTGCGTGTGTGTGTGCGTGTGTGTGTGCGTGTGTGTGTGTGTGTTTGTGTGTGTGTGTGTGTGTGTGTGTGTGTGTGTGTGTGTGTGTGTGTGTGTGTGTGTGTGTGTGTGTGTGTGTGCGTGCGCGCGTGCGTGTGTGCGTGTGTGTGTGTGTGTGTGTGTGTGTGTTCTGGCATGCTGTCATTCTCCTGGTGAAAGGGACAGGGAGTTGGCATGAAACGTTGTGTACTTATAAATAGGAAGATTTTATCCACAATATTCCTTGTCATACTTCAAAAGACCATTCGTTTTTCTGACCTTGTTTCGCTGTGTCACATGTTTGGTTCTTGGCGTTGAAACTGAAGTTGTTCCTACATCCGCAGATGGCAGCAGAGGAGCATTCAGAGTTGTCCACCATCTGACAGTCTCTGTCTGTGGTACAGTTGAACCCAACGTACCCGTACCCTATCATGAACACAGAGTAGTTCGTTCATTATAGTTAACCCCGTATACACAAGTTCCTGTGTGGTTATATACTGACTTGACAATTTAGTTCTGTACGTACCGACTTCTGGGTTAACCTTCGCGTTTCATTTCATCCTCAAATCACCACGCAGGGATGAGATTGACCTACACGTGTTATTCCTGGAGCGGTTGTTATTGACCAACATCGCTATGATAGATGGCATCAAACAATAAGACGCAACAGGAAATTTCGAAACAACTGAGGATTTCGCCATATTGGAAACAAATCGACGAAAGTGAGTATGGTTAACGCTGCTTGTATTTCAGTAAGTCCCGGCAAAAGGACACCCTTGAACTTGACATATGTTAGCGATCCCTTAAATCAACATAGCTACCATTCCACTCGAGGACATCTACAGGTGTATCCTCAGTTCTACTATATAGTTGCACTCACTAACACTGCTCTACATATTGAAGTTATTGATCTCTTCTATTATTTCTGACTAAGGTTTAATAAAACATGGACATATATCTTTAGACCATTACCGAAATATTGGAAAACGTGTTGAAAAAGTAAGAAATAAATTGTCTTACTGCATTTGAAGTCAACTCTGAGGACCGAATCTGTAAAAGAAAACGCAAACTGTATATACAAAGAATATAACGGATACAGTACAGATAGCTCCTGATATAACGAACTCAGGAAGGCCGTCAGTATGAGTTCGACATATCCGAAATGTCTGAAATGACGCTATAAATTACACAGACGTTCACCGAAATATAACTGGCTTCGTTATTTGAAAGTTATGCCCTAAAAATATACCCTGTAGTGAGCTAAGAATATTTTACAAAGAATGCACACACACGTAAAGATCATTTTTGTGTGATGTTTGCTCTCTATAAGCGGCCATTCGTTATATTTATACGCGTATGTTTGCCGCGTTCTAGTAAGTCTGAAGTACGAAACAGAATGACAATGTGATCTGAATGAACATAACAACATGTGTGAAAGATCTCACCAGAGAAGCAGGCACTCTTGTGATTGGACTGTAGCGAGGTCAGCAAGGTTGTTGTGTTGTCCAAGTCGAACTGACCACACTGACAAAACATCACCTCCAAGCACTCAACAAATACTTTCTGGTTTCTGTAAAGGTACAGGTTGGCACTCAATCAATGATGGATTAGTTACCAAGTTGATCAATGAGGTCTAACCATTTGTAAATGTGACTACATTTGGGGCTATATGGTGAACATATTCAAGAATCCAATAAAGAAGGCGTCACGAGCTGGGAAGGAGCGTGTTGCCACTTGGTGGGTGGGTTAGTGTTAGTGTTAGTGTGTGTATGTGTGTGCGTTGTGTGGGGCGTTGATGTGGGGTGGGAGGGGTTTCAGGGGTCAGGGTATACTCTCATTTGCAACATGTAGTTCAAAGTCGCAAGTACATGCGGCAATGTTTTGTTGTCGTGAGGTTTCGACATGATGTTTTGTTATTAGTGATTCAATCAATCGTTATTCATGGTACTGATGAGGCCAAAGGCCTTGGGTACATTGTCTGGGGGTTGTTACAAATCCAAACAGTTTCATAGCATTATAAATGAACATAGATAAGTTTCTCAAAGTTTCTGTACAATCACATGTCATTAATTTACAAAATTTGTTACCGCTTGGGTTGTGGTAGAAATAGTTATTTAGATATTTTGCTCTTAAATCATTACATACAGGAATTATACACATAAAAAGTGATATTTATCTTCAATGCAATCAGTTTTACAAATCCTACAAAGTCAATGTTTTCTTGCAAATACCTACATATTTGCCTGTTTCAATAAATAGGTCAGGTGAGCTACAACGAAATCGAAGAAGAGCTGTTCTAAACTTATGTAAATTTACACTTAGTAGATAAGGTTCTAGTATAATAGTAGTCTTAAACGTAGTGTAGTTATTTGCTTTTCTAGGTCTGCACAAGGAACCATGCCATTTTTGGATTACATATCTTTTAAGGTCTGTGTCAAGCGGGTGTAGAACTGTTATGGCATATCTACCTGTTGCTGTAACCAAATATACATATCCACATTCGCATAACATGTTTTTAACTTTTGATGCCCAATTTTTTCCCCATGGCTGTCGTACAGAAGCATCATATTATAACATTTTCTAGGGTAACTTGAAGATGGCATATTTAATAACTTCACCCAGTATTTATTAACCTATAAATAACTATACATTGGAAACCTTCCGCATCAAACACGGTGTATTGTTAATATACGAGTGACCTCTTCACAGGTGACTGAGATATTGATTCATTACTATTGTAGTTTACGTTAGATATATAAACCATAATGCCTATTGACATGTACGTACGCACAGAGCTGCCGACTGCTTTTCTGAAAGAGGGCAACACCATTAGCCGCGTCTAGGTCCGAGTAGCACTTCTTCACCCCTCTACACGAGCTGTCCAACAGCGCCACCGAGGGAACTGTACAGAAACACAATGACCAAGTTCGACATAAGGAGAATTATACTTCATATATAATTTCAGATATATGATAGCGATTTGTTTAATATACCGCCACATTCATAATTCGAGGTAGATCACAGCGGCCTGTGTCTTCACCGCGTACCATTAGTTGGCACTGAGGACAAGAGTGGTGTTTTGGGACCTATTGTCAGTGTGTCTTACTCTGTCAAGTCATATAAACATGATGAGGGAGGAAAGCCCAAATTGTCGGAGGTCACAGACAATACTCCGAATCTCAGTCGACCTCTTCATTTTCCTGAAACAGCAGTAAGATAGACTTGCCAACTCTTGTAGACTTGTGTGGGCTGTATTGGATATATTTGTTCAGGGTCTAACGTGTATGGAGTACTGGCGACCTTTTCTGCCTCGGGATCTACACGGGGAGATGCTCAAGGGGTGAGGAGGACGAAATCTCTACGGGGTGGCACACCCCGTGTCTATGGAGTCTATGGACATAGCTATGTGGCGGATTGTTGTGAGGGCTTTTTTTGTAGTGATTGTCAGAGCCAGCAAATGATTGAAACGCTACTAAGATGTCGAGAGCTGTCGGTGGAAGCGAGCTAGTTGATGTTAGAGTTGTTTAGGTTGTTTAAAAACAGGACACACTTATTCGCTCGAGAAGTTTGTTCGTTTGTTTGTTTGTTGTTTAACGCCGCACTCAGCAATGTTCCAGCCATATGACGGCGGTCTTTAAATAATCGAGTCTGGACAAGACAATCCAATCATTGACATCATGAGCATCGATCCACGCAATTCGGATCGATGACATGCATCAACCAAATCAGCGAGCCTGACCACCAGATCCCGTTAGTCGCCTTTTACGGCAAACATGGGTTGCTGCAGACCTATTCTACCCCGGATCTTCACGGGCCGCTCTAGATGTGTAGGGATTGGAGTTTCCAAAAGGGTAAGAGCACCTTAAGCGACAAGAGGGCGATTCGAGGTCGAAACATGACCTGTTTGAATGTAAACCTAAGACTGTGTTTCAAAATAGTTTGGGGGCACGAGTGGCCAAGTCGTCTAATGCGCCGCGATTCGCTGTGCAGAGTTGCGTCCCTTGGACACGCCAGAAATCTATGACTGTGGGTTCGAATCCCGGTTCGCCCCGATTATGTTTCTAGGTTTGTCAGCATCACACCCGTGCTCGTTGGTTTCACCGAAGTGGTAAACGTCTTATGTTAAAAGCGGCGTTAAAACCCAACTCACTAACTCAATATAGTTTATTGCTCAATCATTGATCTTGTGTAGTCATGTTCTTTAGTTCTGTACGTACCGATGTCTGGTTTAACATTTGCGTTTCAATTTGGAAATCACCTTATAACATAAACTGGGGGCTTGTCCGGGATCTGAATTGAGTTTGCTAAAATTTCAAGAAGAAATGGATGAAAAATAAAAAAGTTTTGAAGAAGCTGGAAGGCAATTTGAAAGAGAACTAAAATTGAAGGAATTGGAATATCAAAAATTAAAAGAGGGAGAATTTCAAAGAGATAAAACAGAGGAGGAGCTAACATTGAAAGAATTAGAATTGATAAAAGAGAGGTGTGTGAATTCCTTTTTGAGGGAAATTACCGATTTCAGGTTTTCAACTTGGCAATCGCCTCGCAACAACATGGTCGATTTTTTTACCGTGTGTACTGTGGACCCCGTCTTCCTCTTGTAAGACGTGGCCTTCTCCGCGGATTTTGATTGAATGCGATCACACTCTAAACGACATTTTACATATACTTTTCATATCAACTCCAATGTCTATGGCAGGTTTATCTACAAGACTGTCCCTACCTTCAGCCAAAGCTATGATGAGGCGATCGTCCTCGTCTGTCGTCCCACTACCATCTGAAATACATACACACTACATTTCTGAAACTTTTCAACGAACTCTCAGTCTGTGACAGCAGATCTATTAACATGTGGCGTGTTGTCATGTTGGTTATTGTTCTATAGTCGTTAACATAAAGCTTTAAATGACTATAACATGAGCTACTGCAATACATTTACCTGTGCAGTTGATCCCAGGAACAACCTCCACTTCCCTGGTCGCTAAGGAAGAAAATAACCATCTGATTAGAAACCTGCTACACCACACACACACACACACACACACACACACACACACACACACACACACACACACACACAAACACACACACACTCACTTTTCTGCCCTTAACGTCAGGCAAGGCAACAACAAGTACATTCTATTAACGTCTATTGGTATGACGCCGCACAGATTTCGAACCACGGCCTTCCTCTTTTCGGGAAGACGCTCTACCCACGGCACAACGATGGCAGTTCATAATACTTCGGCAGTCAGATGACTGTATCTATCTGTTCGGAGCCTACTAGATAGTATTGTCTTACATATGTTTAATTATAAAAAAACCTACACTTGTATCTCATCTTATTACTGATTTAGGTACCATTTCAAACATATTATTTATAGATTAAACGCGTGCAAAACGTGTCAATGAGGACACTCAGATTGAGAGCGAGGATGCAATAATTAAGTTTGATCGTGGCGTGATTGTAAGCTTTTTCTAACAGAAACTCCAACGCAGTGTAAACAATGCCAGTATCCGCACGACTGAGGTTGAATTACAGCACGATACCCTGTATGTGTGGGTCTCACGGAAATAATAAAAGTCTTCTGTGTAACCTATTTATTTCCCCCCACATTAACCTATAACGCAGTGGAATAATGTTGAAATCGGCGTTAGCCACGGGTACAGTCCAAATAAAATCAGATCATAATTCTCGCTAACGCTACACACAGATCTGAGGACATCCCATTACAGGTCACGTCAGAAAGAATCGCGAATTTTGACCTATCAATGAAATGACTAGCGGCAAGTCGACATTTGCGAAGCAGAATGTTTTTTTCAAATCTAAACGGCACAACTTTCAAAATGACAACTTCAATCCAGACTAGGCTTTGCAAAATATTTTGACAAAGTTCTCCATTCAAAACTTGAAGTCGCTATTCAAATGCAATATTCTTGGACGTGACCTTAAACCCCAGTTTCATTCACTTCACTCTAACTTGAAAACTGAACAAACACATGTCTGGAATATCTAATAGGTAGCCGAGAGTGTATATTGCAGTACTTTCCAGGGGCTAGGACAAGACTCTTTCATTGCAATGTTCATCCCATTGAAGCTAGAGATAGGCGAGGATGTTTACAAGAATCTATTGTACAGACCCTAACTGTCGTTCGGGAAGCTACGTGTTAACTTTTTGGAGGTTCCATGGTCAGAAAACACGCCCTGGTTCGTCGGACAAAGGGTCGTTGTTACGTGACCTGTTATAGGATGTCCTCATATCGTTGTGTCGCTGTGGTGAGCACAAAGGTCTCATGCTACTTTACTGCCACTAGCTTAAACACTCATCCACCAAAGTGTAAGTGTACGTTCGGGTTTCATTATTTACGTTAACGTGTCATTACGAGGCACTCGAGGCACACAGGGTGTGCTTCTGTACAGAATATGAATCTACTTAACCTACCAATTGCACATCCCGTTTTGTTGTAGAAGGAAATGGCATTCGTGATAGCTTGGTAGACGGTCCAGTCCCGAATCAGTCCACACTGACAAGCGATGTTCTCTATACACTCGATGTATGTCTTGGAAGCCCTGGTAACGGACAGGTTAGAGTCAGAGGAGGACATACGCACACATCTATATCTCATTGGCGGGGACAGGTTTATTAAGAGGATATAAACGGACGTTCTGGCGGAGGGTCCGGCAACTGGCATGTATCATATACACACGATATACAACATAAGTGTTTTAACATAGACATGAACATGCACAACAAGTAGGGGATAGTGAGAATCATCAAGACATATTTCCTGATCTAAATGATAACTACTATCAGATGTGTAAACAACAGCGTGAAGCTAATGGCAGAAAATTTCAACAACTTAATACGTAAGTAGTTTTCATACCTTATATGACTCAGGATATAGCAAACTGAAACCTCTTTGTGTGAACAGCCAAAAGGGTCATCTTAAACGACACAACGACTAAGAACTCGCTGGGCCAGGCTTCGAGTGATTACCGAAGATGAATAGTGTTAAGCGCGACTGTACAGCAATACGAACCTATATACCACTCAGACACTGAGAGAAGCTAGTAGATGAACCACACAGACACGGAGAGAAGCTAGGAGGTAGACTTCACCGACACGGAGAGGAGCAAGTAGATGGACCACACAGACATGGAGATAAGCTAGTAGATGAACCACACAGACACATAGAGAAAATAGTAGATGAACCACACAGACACTGAGAGGAGCAAGTAGATGGACCACACAGACACTGAGAGAAGCAAGTAGATGAACCACACAGACACTGAGAGAAGCTAGTAGATGAACCACACAGACATGGAGAGAAGCTAGTAGATGGACCACACAGACACGGAGAGAAGCTAGTAGGTGGACCACATAGACACGGAGAGAAGCTAGTAGATGGACCACACAGACACTGAGAGAAGCAAGTAGATGAACCACACAGACGCGGAGAGAAGCTAGCAGACGAACCACACAGACATGGAGAGAAGCAAGTAGATGAACCACACAGACATGGAGAGAAGCTAGTAGATGAACCACACAGACATGGAGAGAAGCAAGTAGATGAACCACACAGACATGGAGAGAAGCAAGTAGATGAACCACACAGACACGGAGAGAAGCAAGTAGATGAACCACACAGACATGGAGAGAAGCTAGTAGATGAACCACACAGACATGGAGAGAAGCAAGTAGATGAACCACACAGACATGGAGAGAAGCTAGTAGATGAACCACACAGACACGGAGAGAAGCTAGTAGATGAACCACACAGACATGGAGAGAAGCAAGTAGATGAACCACACAGACATGGAGAGAAGCTAGCAGACGAACCACACAGACATGGAGAGAAGCAAGTAGATGAACCACACAGACATGGAGAGAAGCTAGTAGATGAACCACACAGACACGGAGAGAAGCTAGTAGATGAACCACACAGACACTGAGAGAAGCAAGTAGATGAACCACACAGACGCGGAGAGAAGCTAGCAGACGAACCACACAGACATGGAAAGAAGCTAGTAGATGAACCACACAGACATGGAGAGAAGCTAGTAGATGAACCACACAGACACGGAGAGAAGCTAGTAGATGAACCACACAGACACGGAGAGAAGCAAGTAGATGAACCACACAGACATGGAGAGAAGCTAGTAGATGAACCACACAGACACGGGGAAAAGCAAGTAGATGAACCACACAGACATGGAGAGAAGCTAGTAGATGAACCACACAGACATGGAGAGAAGCAAGAAGATGAACCACACAGACACGGAGAGAAGCAAGTAGATGAACCACACAGACATGGAGAGAAGCTAGTAGATGAACCACACAGACATGGAGAGAAGATAGTAGGTGGACCACACAGACATGGAGAGAAGCTAGTAGATGAACCACACAGACACGGAGAGAAACAAGTAGATGAACCACACAGACACGGAGGGAAGCTAGTAGATGAACCACACAGACATGGAGAGAAACAAGTAGATGAACCACACAGACATGGAGAGAAGCTAGTAAATGAACCATACAGACATGGAGAGAAGCAAGTAGATGAACCACACAGACATGGAGAGAAGCTAGTAGATGAACCACACAGACATGGAGAGAAGCAAGTAGATGAACCACACAGACATGGAGAGAAGCTAGTAGATGAACCACACAGACACGGAGAGAAGCAAGGAGATGAACCATACAGACATGGAGAGAAGCTAGTAGATGAACCACACAGACACGGAGAGAAGCAAGTAGATGAACCACACAGACACGGAGAGAAGCAAGTAGATGAACAACACAGACACGGAGAGAAGCTAGTAGATGAACCACACAGACATGGAGAGAAGCTCGTAGATGAACCATACAGACATGTAGGGAAGCTAGTAGATGAACCACACAGACACGGAGAGAAGCTCGTAGATGAACCATACAGACATGTAGGGAAGCTAGTAGATAGTTCACACAGACACGGAGAGAAACAAGTAGATGAACCATACAGACATGGAGAGAAGCTAGTAGATGAACCATACAGACACGGAGAGAAGCTAGTAGATGAACCACACAGACACGGAGAGAAGCTAGTAGATGAACCACACAGACACGGAGAGAAGCAAGTAGATGAACCACACAGACATGGAGAGAAGCTAGTAGATGAACCATACAGACACGGAGAGAAGCTAGTAGATGAACCACACAGACACGGAGAGAAGCTAGTAGATGAACCACACAGACACGGAGAGAAGCAAGTAGATGAACCACACAGACATGGAGAGAAGCAAGTAGATGAACCACACAGACACGGAGAGAAGCTAGTAGATGAACCATACAGACATGGAGAGAAGCAAGTAGATGAACCACACAGACACGGAGAGAAGCTAGTAGATGAACCACACAGACACGGAGAGAAGCAAGTAGATGAACCACACAGACATGGAGAGAAGCTAGTAGATGAACCACACAGACACTGAGAGAAGCTAGTAGATGAACCACACAGACACTAAGAGAAGCTAGTAGATGAACCACACAGACACTGAGAGAAGCTAGTAGATGAACCACACAGACATGGAGAGAAACAAGTAGATGAACCACACAGACATGGAGAGAAACAAGTAGATGAACCACACAGACATGGAGAGAAGCTAGTAGATAGTTCACACAGACACGGAGAGAAGATAGTAGATGAACCACACAGACATGGAGAGAAGATAGTAGGTGGACCACACAGACACGGAGAGAAGCTAGTAGATGAACCACACAGACATGGGGAGAAGCTAGTAGATGAACCACACAGACACGGAGGGAAGCTAGTAGGTGGACCACACAGACACGGAGAGAAGCTAGTAGATGAACCACACAGACATGGAGAGAAGCTAGTAGATGAACCACACAGACACGGAGAGAAGATAGTAGGTGGACCACACAGACATGTAGAGAAAATAGTAGATGAACCACACAGACACTGAGAGAAGCAAGTAGATGAACCACACAGACACTGAGAGAAGCTAGTAGATGGACCAGACAGACACGGAGAGAAGCAAGTAGATGAACAACACAGACATGGAGAGAAGCTAGTAGATGAACCACATAGACATGGAGAGAAGCTAGTAGATGAACCACACAGACATGGAGAGAAGCAAGTAGATGAACCACACAGACATGGAGAGAAACAAGTAGATGAACCACACAGACACGGAGAGAAGCTAGTAGATGAACCACACAGACACGGAGAGAAGCAAGTAGATGAACCACACAGACACGGAGAGAAGCAAGTAGATGAACCACACAGACACGGAGAGAAGCTCGTAGATTGAACACACAGACATGGAGAGAAACAAGTAGATGAACCACACAGACATGGAGAGAAGCTAGTAGATGGACCACACAGACACGGAGAGAAACAAGTAGATGAACCACACAGACACGGAGAGAAGCTAGTAGGTGAACCACACAGACATGGAGAGAAGATAGTAGGTGGACCACACAGACACGGAGAGAAGCTAGTAGATGGACTACACAGACACGGAGAGAAGCTAGTAGATGAACCACACAGACACGGAGAGAAGCTAGTAGATGAACCACACAGACATGGAGAGAAGCTAGTAGATGAACCACACAGACACGGAGAGAAGCTAGTAGATGAACCACACAGACATGGAGAGAAGCTAGTAGATGGGCCACACAGACATGGAGAGAAGCTAGTAGATGAACCACACAGACACGGAGAGAAGCTAGTAGATGGACCACACAGACACGGAGAGAAGCTAGTAGATGGACCACACAGACACGGAGAGAAGCTAGTAGATGAACCACACAGACATGGAGAGAAGCTAGTAGATGAACCACACAGACATGGAGAGAAGATAGTAGGTGGACCACACAGACATGTAGAGAAGATAGTAGGTGGACCACACAGACACGGAGAGAAGCTAGTAGATGAACCACACAGACATGGAGAGAAACAAGTAGATGAACCACACAGACACGTAGAGAAGATAGTAGGTGGACCACACAGACATGTAGAGAAGCTAGTAGATGAACCACACAGACATGGAGAGAAACAAGTAGATGAACCACACAGACACGGAGAGAAGATAGTAGGTGGACCACACAGACACGGAGAGAAGCTAGTAGATGAACCACACAGACACGGAGAGAAGCTAGTAGATGAACCACACAGACATGGAGAGAAGCTAGTAGATGAACCACACAGACATGGAGAGAAGATAGTAGGTGGACCACACAGACAAGGAGAGAAGATAGTAGGTGGACCACACAGACACGTAGAGAAAATAGTAGATGAACCACACAGACACTGAGAGAAGCAAGTAGATGAACCACACAGACATGGAGAGAAGCTAGTAGATGAACCACACAGACATGGAGAGAAGCTCGTAGATTGAACATACAGACATGGAGAGAAACAAGTAGATGAACCACACAGACATGGAGAGAAGCTAGTAGATGGACCACTCAGACACGGAGAGAAACAAGTAGATGAACCACACAGACACGGAGAGAAGCTAGTAGGTGAACCACACAGACACGGAGAGAAGATAGTAGGTGGACCACACAGACACGGAGAGAAGCTAGTAGATGGACTACACAGACACGGAGAGAAGCTAGTAGATGAACCACACAGACACGGAGAGAAGCTAGTAGATGAACCACACAGACACGGAGAGAAGCTAGTAGATGGACCACACAGACACGGAGAGAAGCTAGTAGATGAACCACACAGACATGGAGAGAAGCTAGTAGATGGGCCACACAGACACGGAGAGAAGCTAGTAGATGAACCACACAGACACGGAGAGAAGCAAGTAGATGGACCACACAGACACGGAGAGAAGCTAGTAGATGGACCACACAGACACGGAGAGAAGCTAGTAGATGAACCACACAGACATGGAGAGAAGCTCGTAGATGGACCACACAGACATGGAGAGAAGCTCGTAGATTGAACACACAGACACCGAGATACTTGTAAACGGACCACACACAAACGGAGAGAAACCGTAAGGTCTTGTAAGAAGCGTTGGACAGAAATAGAAAGAATTAGAATTCAACAAATGTTCTAAAAACGTTTTAATGACAAAGGCGAGGAACTTAATTGTATTTCTTCAATGCCGCCGTCACAATAAAGAACAGTGAAAATCAGTTCTGGGAAATGTACTCACGGACACTGTGAGTCACTTCCGCGCCCATATCGCACCAGGTGAGCTGAAAATTCCAGGTAGCACTTGTAGGTTGGTGAGGCGGTGTCACACACGGTCCGGACAGATGCGGTGCCCTGATCTGGTGTACAACATCAGCATTAGGGAAAACGTGACGTCTAGCTAGCTGACTGATACAGCTATACTTACAATTACCAGAATGTAGGGATGTTTTGCATTTTTAAAGTGACAACCTGAGAAATGAATAGCTACAATGTAGACTCGCTGAATATTATTTAAGGGCCGCCCAACTGACTGCAAATAAAATGATTACCACACCAGAAGTGTATCTGATGACGTCATTGCACGGTTTGCGGCATACAGATATCTAATGGGCTTTTTTCAGAGAGTCGTGGTGCTGTTGATGACATACATGACGTAGTCTCACATACCTGTACACTTCACTTGTGATCTTGGAATCGCATCGTGACCAACAACTGTTAATAGCAACATGAATGTATATCAGAGTTAGATATAACAATGTTCATACAATAAGAGTTGTCAAAGATGGAAGGGATGTGTCGCTTTTATTGAGTATATAATATCCAGTAATATAATCATAAATCCTAGACAAACTCAAGCAATGTTGTAACAGGTAGGTAATGAAGGCCTTTGGCTATGTTATTTACAGCTAGTCAATGCAAACATCCGGCTATAGTTTTTGCAGTTAGCCAATGAATAACTCCTGCTATATTGTATACGGTTGCCACTGAATGCTTGCAGTTGTGTTGTTAACATTTAGCAATGAATACCCAGGAAACACGTATCCCTGTACTGAAGATCGTTGTAGATGATGTCGTTGATCAGGTTCGTGTCGTTGCTGCCGTTACAGGCACAAGCTGCGTTCTCGAGGCATAAAAGCGCCATGTCAATAACCCTGGAACAAATATAGGTGTCAATAACTCTGGACTATTCAAAACAGTGTGAGGTAGGTGTACTTTCACATAGACTATTCAAAACAGTGTGAGGTAGGTACCATTTCACTTAGACAACTCAAAACAGTGTGAGGTAGGTGCACCTTCACATAGACTATTCAAAACAGTGTGGGTTAGGTACACTTTCACATAGACTATTCAAAACAGTGCGAGATAGATGCACTTTCATATAGACAACTCAAAACAGTGTGAGGTAGGTGTACTTTCACATAGACTATTCAAAACAGCGTGGCTTAGGTGTACTTTGAGATAGACTATTCAAAACAGTGTGAGGTATGTGCACTTTCACATAGACAATTCAAAACAGTGTGAGATAGATGCACTTTCATATCGACTATTCAAAATATTATGAGATAGATGCACTTTCACATAGTCTATTCAAAACAGTGTGAATTAGATGCACTTTCATATAGACCATTCAAAACAGTGTGAGGTAGGTGCACCTTCACATAGACTATTCAAAACAGTGCGAGATAGATGCACTTTCATATAGACAACTCAAAACAGTGTGAGGTAGGTGTACTTTCACATAGACTATTCAAAACAGTGTGGCTTAGGTGTACTTTGAGATAGACTATTCAAAACAGTGTGAGGTATTTGCACTTTCACATAGACAATTCAAAACAGTGTGAGATAGATGCACTTTCATATCGACTATTCAAAATATTATGAGATAGATGCACTTTCACATAGTCTATTCAAAACAGTGTGAATTAGATGCACTTTCATATAGACCATTCAAAACAGTGTGAGGTAGGTGCACCTTCACATAGACTTTTCAAAACAGTGTGAGGTAGATGCACTTTCATATAGACTATTTAAAACAGTGTGAGGTAGGTGCACTTTCACACAGACTATTCAAAACAGTGTGAGATAGATGCACCTTCACATAGACTATTCACAACAGTGTGAGATTGATGCACTTGCATATAGACTATTCAAAACAGTTTGAGATAGATGCACCTTCACATAGACTATTCACAACAGTGTGAGATAGATGCACCTTCACATAGACTATTCACAACAGTGTGAGATAGATGCACCTTCACATAGACTATTTAAAACAGTTTGAGGTAGATGCACTTTCACATAGACTATTCAAAACAGTGTGGCTTAGGTGTACTTTGAGATAGACTATTCAAAACAGTGTGAGGTAGGTGCACTTTCACATAGACAATTTAAAACAGTGTGAGATAGATGCACTTTCATATCGACTATTCAAAATATTATGAGATAGATTCACTTTCACATAGACTATTCAAAACAGTGTGAATTAGATGCACTTTCATATAGACCATTCAAAACAGTGTGAGGTAGGTGCACCTTCACATATACTATTCACAACAGTGTGAGATTGATGCACTTGCATATAGACTATTCACAACAGTGTGAGGTAGATGCACCTTCACACAGACTATTCAAAACAGTGTGAGATAGATGCACCTTCACATAGACTATTTAAAACAGTGTGAGGTAGATGCACCTTCACATAGACTATTTAAAACAGTTTGAGGTAGATGCACTTTCACATAGACTATTCAAAACAGTGTGAGGTAGGTGCACTTTCACATAGACAATTTAAAACAGTGTGAGATAGATGCACTTTCATGTCGACTATTCAAAATATTATGCGATAGATTCACTTTCACATAGACTATTCAACACAGTGTGAATTAGATGCACTTTCATATAGACCATTCAAAACAGTGTGAGGTAGGTGCACCTTCACATAGACTATTCAAAACAGTGTGAGATTGATGCACTTGCATATAGACTATTCAAAACAGTGTGAGGTAGATGCACCTTCACACAGACTATTCAAAACAGTGTGAGATAGATGCACCTTCACATAGACTATTTAAAACAGTGTGAGGTAGATGCCACTACACACATACTATTCACAACAGTGTGAGATTGATGCACTTGCATATAGACTATTCCAAACAGTGTGAGGTAGGTGCACTTTCACATAGACAATTTAAAACAGTGTGAGATAGATGCACTTTCATATCGACTATTCAAAATATTATGAGATAGATTCACTTTCACATAGACTATTCAAAACAGTGTGAATTAGATGCACTTTCATATAGACCATTCAAAACAGTGTGAGGTAGGTGCACCTTCACATAGACTATTCACAACAGTGTGAGATTGATGCACTTGCATATAGACTATTCACAACAGTGTGAGGTAGATGCACCTTCACACAGACTATTCAAAACAGTGTGAGATAGATGCACCTTCACATAGACTATTTAAAACAGTGTGAGGTAGATGCCACTACACACATACTATTCCAAACAGTGTGAGGTAGGTGTACTTTCACATAGACTATTCAAAACAGTGTGAGGTAGGTGCACCTGCACATCGACTATTCAAAACAGTGTGTGATAGATTCACTTTCACATACACAATTGAAATCAGTGTTAGATAGGTGTACTTTTCACACAAACTATTCAAAATAGTGTCAATAGTGTAAAATAGATGCATTTTCACTTGACTGTTCAGCACATTGGAAGACAAGTGCAGTTTTACAGTGATTATGTCAGCCTTTTTGCATTGTGATAGTTGTGTACATCATACACACGCATACATGGAACACACTATCGGGGCATATACATTGTATGTATCCATGTGTGGTGTGCCCCACTTACAGCATACAACTTACGTACAAGCACAGCTGGGTGAGGTTCCTGTTGTGCAAGGCGAGCGCGGCATCGTTGTCGTAAACGGCGTAGCAGGTCTGGTAGCCGCTGCAATTCCTGTTGAGGGCGACCACATACTCGGCTGGCAACACAGACGATATCTTCACTGACAGGACGGGGAGTTTACGGACGCTTCAGATTATATCGCGTCAACATGGACGGTGGTGTTAAAGAAGGAAATCAACCAGATCTAGATCTGTCATACCATGACCATTAATACCTGATGTTCCAAAGGTCGAGGATAATAGAACAAACAAAAAGGCCCTGAGCTTCAATTGCAATCAACACTTAAATAACAGTATAAGTTACATCTCAATGGAATCTAAATAAGCTGAAGATCAATATCAATACGAATTAAGGGAAGGTCCATCACATGTTGTAATATAACTGTTTAAGACAATGTTTGTGAATAACATCTTGGGTTGATATTTTGCTGCACGATGAATGCCTGTGAGATTTCTGCTTCAGTACTGCTACAACTAACACCAGGATTGATGGCAAGCACTCACATACAGCCGTTGACAACACCAGAAGCTCGCCCTCGGTGGAAGACGATGACGTGTCACCTGCAAGACAATCACCACAATCTCAGGGCAACACGGTAAGGACTAACTATACGTAGAACAAGCGATCTCAGCGCTAAGACTACCGTAGTTCCTACACCGACTAACGTCCAGCCTTGTGTTGTAGCGCTAAGACCATCGTAGTTCCTACGCCGACTAACGTCCAGCCATGTGTCATAGCGCTAAGACCATCGTAGTTCCTACGCCGACTAACGTCTAGCGATGGGTCATAGCGCTAAGACTATCGTAATTCCTGCACCGACTAACGTCCAGCCATGTGTCATAGCGCTAAGACTATCGTAATTCCTACACCAATTAACGTCTAGCGATGTGTCGTAGCGCTAGGACTATCGTAATTCCTACACTGACTCTTACGTCCAGCGATGTGTCGTAGCGCTAAGATTATCGTAGTTCCTACACCGACTAACGTCTAGCGAAGGGTCGTAGCGCTAAGACTATCGTAGTTCCTACACTGACACTAACGTCTAGCGACGGGTCGTAGCGCTAAGACTATCGCAGTTCCTACACTGACTTCTAACGTCTTGCAATGGGTCGTAGCTCTAGGATTGCTTTCTGGAACGAGGCCCTTGTCCCCGAAATTTCTTGAAAAAAAATCATTACGCTTCATATTGTTCGGAAAAAAGAAATTGTCTGCCTTAAATTAATTTACATCCTTGCTATGTGTTTTTAGAGAGTTACATATTTGGAATAAAGTATCTGAAGCTGAAAGAATATCAGGTCTCAATACAAAGTCCCTGCAAATGTTACCAGTTATCCCTGGTATCATGTACTTATTGTTCTGTGTGCAGCATATTCTACCTACCCCACTTCGTACAAGGGATCCCTTTATTCAGCTCTAATGCACCGGTATCTGAAATGATAACACGCAAAATATAACGCATTGTATTATTCATCATAACACCGACTCGGCCATCACCTGCCATCCACCCACTGATGCTTCAACATAACCTATATACGTACCCTCTGATCAGCGGTGTTTGGTCATGGTAGACAACCACCCACTGATGCTTCAGCATAACCCATATACCCTCTGACCAGCGGTGTTTGGTCATGGTAGACAACCGCCCACTGATGCTTCAGCATAACCCATATACCCTCTGACCAGCGGTGTTTGGTCATGGTAGACAACCGCCCACTGATGCTTCAGCATAACCCATATACCCTCTGACCAGCGGTGTTTGGTCATGGAAGACAACCGCCCACTGATGCTTCTACATAACCTATATACCCTCTGACCAGCGGTGTTTGGTCATGGTAGACAACCGCCCACTGATGCTTCTACATAACCTATATACCCTCTGACCAGCGGTGTTTGGTCATGGTAGACAACCACCCACTGATGCTTCTACATAACCTATATACCTTCTGACCAGCGGTGTTTGGTCACGGTAGACAACCACCCACTGATGTTTCGACATAACCTATATACCCTCTGATCAGCGGTGTTTGGTCATGGTAGACAACCACCCACTGATGCTTCTACATAAACCATATACCCTCTGATCAGAGGTGTTTGGTCATGGTAGACAACCACCCACTGATGCTTATACATAACCTATATACCCTCTGACCAGCGGTGTTTGGTCATGGTAGAAAACCACCCACTGATGCTTCTACATAAACCATATACCCTCTGATCAGCGGTGTTTGGTCATGGTAGACAACCATCCACTGATGTTTCTACATAACCTATATACCCTCTGACCAGCGGTGTTTGGTCATGGTAGAAAACCACCCACTGATGTTTCTACATATACCATATACCCTCTGACCAGCGGTGTTTGGTCATGGTTGACGGAGATGGCACATCTGATCACTCTCCCTTCTCATTGGTTAGGTATCCTCGTGTCAACTGCATGCCACCTTCAGTATTGTAATTATGCATTTTAGCTATGATTGCTATGATGTGAAATGCCTACTGGGTGTGTTACCGACTCGTTACGGCGTTGGGCACAGGTGGAATATGTTTGCACAGAGCATTGCCTATGATGTCCAACCTCCAATGGCAAGAAACGATTGTAGAATAGGGACACTGTATTTAACAAACTATTTCTGTACCCTTGGGATTTGAAATATATGAACAGAATTCTACTGTGACTACCATGAGAATTCAAGAATCTAACAGCATGCTCCTGGTTTAAACATCTGCATTAAGAGATTAATAACAAAACATTTTCTCATTCGTTCAAATCATTACATCAGTCAATGTAGATAAGAAATGGTGATCGGTTCCTGGATTTTCAAGGTAATGAACTTGTGTGGCAATGCTTTTGGACAAGAGACCATGAAGGTCTCTCAGCGGCACCAGTTTGACACATGACACTTCTGTATCTAACTGTCACAGACTATGACGGTGACGCTAACTCAGTGTAGTACCTTGGTATTCAAAACTAGTAGATATAGTACCTGCATGCTGCTCCTTTTAGAAAACCTTTTGACAGGATTGCATTGATAATGCATTATGTGGTATTTTCTCGAATTTCTTAATGGCTTCATTGTTTAAAAATATGACAAGTACAAGACAAGTAACTTGTGTTGTGGAAGATGAACTTACATTTCATCACGGCTGTGATGCGATGATGGTCCTTACAAGCCCAACAGTAGCGTTATTTACATGCCTCACAGCGGTGTTACTTACATGCCTCACAGTGGTATTACTTACATGCCTCACAGTGGTGTTACTTACATGCCTCACAGTGGTGTTACTTACATGCCTCACAGTGGTGTTACTCACATGCCTCACAGTGGTGTTACTTACATGCCTCACAGTGGTGTTACTTACATGCCTCACAGTGGTGTTACTCACATGCCTCACAGTGGTGTTACTTCCATGCCTCACAGTGTCGTTACTAACATGCCTCACAGTGGTGTTACTAACATGCCTCACAGTGTCGTTACTAACATGCCTCACAGTGTCGTTACTAACATGCCTCACAGTGGTGTTACTTACATGCCTCATAGTGGTGTTATTTACATGCCTCATAGTGGTGTTATTTACATGCCTCACAGTGGTGTAACTTCCATGCCTCACAGTGTCGTTACTAACATGCCTCACAGTGGTATTACTTACATGCCTCACAGTGTCGTTACTTACATGCCTCACAGTAGCGTTATTTACATGCCTCACAGTGGTGTTACTTACATGCCTCACAGTGGCGTTACTTACATGCCTGACAGTGGCGTTACTTACATGCCTCACAGTAGCGTTATTTACATGCCTCACAGTGGTGTTACTTACATGCCTCACAGTGGCGTTACTTACATGCCTGACAGTGGCGTTACTTACATGCCTCACAGTGGTATTACTTACATGCCTCACAGTGATGTTACTTACATGCCTCACAGTGGTGTTACTTACATGCCTAACAGTGGTGTTATTTACATGCCTCACAGTGGAGTTATTTACATGCCTCACGGTAGTGTTATTTACATGTCTCACAGTGGTGTTATTTACATGCCTCACAGTGGCGTTATTTACATGCCTCACAGTGGTGTTATTTACATGCCTCACAGTAGCGTTATTTACATGCCTCATAGTGGTGTTACTTCCATGCCTGACAGTGGTATTACTTACATGCCTCACAGTGGTGTTACTTACATGCCTCACAGTGGCGTTACTTACATGCCTCACAGTGGTGTTACTTACATGCCATACAGTGGTGTTACTTACAGGCCTCACAGTAGCGTTATTTACATGCCTCACAGTGGTGTTACTTACATGCCTCACAGTGGTGTTACTTACATGCCTCACAGTGGCGTTACTTACATGCCTCGCAGTCCTTGTAGGAGTAGTACTCAGCGATACAGGTGAGGGCGCTAGCCACGTTGTAGCTCAGCGTCAGGTTACACTCACATGCCACATTCTCCACACACGAGATGTACGTCTTGATAGCGCTGAAACATCGTATGTACTTTAGACTGATCATGAAACCTTGCATGCCCAGTGCACTGACACACATTATATGTATTTTGTACAAAATCGTGTCAGGGCGAAAACTTGGGGAATTGAGTTTTATATATTAGTCGTCAGCTGTCCAGACATTTATTTTGAATAGATTAGTGATTTCAAGTATATAGTGTTTAGTAACAGTGCATTTTCATATACTCCTACTTTTAAGGCGCTTACAAACGTTAACGAGGTCTTCAAATTATTTTGTAAATAATGATTTAGCATGTTATTGGATAATGAATTATATGTCCATATATCTTGAAATACCAAAATATATCAACACAATCTGAAACACCGAAGCATAATCTATAATGTATTGAATTATTCACAAAAGGCTTATAGTGACCAGAAGACACACATTGTGCTGAAATGTTCACAATGTTCCAATATGTACCATTATCTAACCAATGAACATCGGCTTCTGTGTGCTTCAAGATAAGTGGGTTTCTAAGATTGACATCAAATGTAAATGGTTGTTGATATTTAAACTTTATCAATTATAAAAATACCTCTCAAGAAACCTATTCGTGCTAAAGGATGGAGCCTTTCACTCCTCATGCCTAGTGAGATAACAATCTAGCGTGACGACTGGCCGCATGTATCTCATGGTGACACGGTGACAGGCGGTTTTCCAGTACTAGGTGGTACGTCCATTTAAAACAAACTACTTGGCAATCATGAGCCGGGATCATTCGAGTGAAAGGGCCCGACGGTCGAACTTTTGACCCAGCTAGACGTTTACACGTCAATAGAGCGAAGGAATGCTAGGTTCCCTATGTGACTTGATATTAGTATTTCAGCACACCTGATCCATGTTACTTTCTGTACGTAAAGGAAGCCTTATTTGCTGTTGTACATGAAGTGTGAATTTGTAATAATTACATCTACCGATAATTACATAGTATAGATAGGACATATATCCAAAGGTGACTCTCATTTATTCTATTCTCAGTTATTTTTCATTGAAAGAAATGGCGTGATTAAAATATGTATGCTCCTCTTGTTATTTTTATTCCTTTTCTTGGTCAGTAAACCAACGAATCAGAAAAGCATGACCGTATTATGGGAGATTGTAAGAGGGATCCCCCATTACAGCCGGACTCCGCGCTCAGCAAGCAGGAAAGGCAGCGAACAAACCGAGTATTCCATTCGGTACCTTGAGCCATGATACATTTGGTCAACAGACTCCGTCCTACTGGCATATCTCACTGATCGATGCAACTAATCATGCTGTGATGTACAGCAATGCTTGGAATACGTCGAAGGATGTATGTAACATATAATTATGTATGTAACATATTACACTTATGCATGTAACATATCACAGGAATGCAGGTAACATGTATCACATTAATGGGTATGACATCTGACAAACATATTCCTGTAACATATCACGCTTAAGCATGTGACATATCACGCATGTAACATATGATAACACTGTAACACATGTAACGTCTAAGACCCTAAATATTATTATTATTATTATTATTATTATTATTATTATTATTATTATTTACATATCAAAATAGAAAATGCAGCAAAGAGGGTTTGGGTGATCCTGGCACAGTCAGGCTGGTTAGGCTCATCATCAGCTCAGGGCCCTTGCCCCCTCTACACGCAGCCCAGACAGCGAATTGGACTTCTCCCAGGAAGCGCTCCCTAGTCAAACCCACCCAAAACTTTCGGAGAATGTGAAGACTCTCCAACACTGCAGCCTTCTGCATTACCCAGATTGTCAGAAGGGCTGTATTCATGGTAGCAAACCCGGGTACTCTCCCAATGTCAGTCAACAGATTGGGAGGTACCAAACCTAAGGCAGCAAGAACAATAGGGAGTCGGACAACTTGGTACTTGGGATACAAGCGTGACATTTCGAAAGCGAGTTCCGCATATTTGCCATGTTTTTCCTCAATTTTGTCAATCACATTTGTATCAAAAGGGACAGAAAATTCAATAATATAAATGATTTCATTGGATAGATCAAAAAGGACAAGATCAGGTTTCCTGGCCTGGATAAGTCTGAGGCTGTAAATGGGCCTATTCCAAAGAATTGTTTACTTATCATTTTCCATGACACCCCCTACATATTCCGGGTCGTACAATGGGTAGACCTCTGCGTCAAAACCACAAGCATGGCGAAGACGGTAATAAAATGATCGAGCTACACCATCATGTCGTTTAAGTTATTATTATTATTATTGTTGTTGTTGTTGTTGTTGTTCTTATTGCAGCTTGACCTTTCATGGCTGACCTTTGCAAGAGCAATCTTGTACGACACCGTTTCACTACCTGTGTCTAAACTCGGTAGGCTATAATTACACATGCATACAAATCATACATACTTGCAGACTTGTGACAGTGTAACTGCCGCCTGTTCTTTCCTGGTGTAGGTTTGGAAACACTGGCTGGCGTAGTCATAGGCGGCACACTCCTCCAGGCTGATAGCGCCCACTCCGCCTGCAAGGCAACATTTAGTTACACTGACGTCATCGCAGATTCAGATACCATCTTTATGCATCTTTATCATGCTCATCACATATTTGGATGTGGCTCATGGCTAGACTTTGTAGAACAGTACCAATTATTCGCCTGTTATCACACAGCTCATGGTACATACGTAGTGAAGCGTGTACACAAACACAGACTACATCTACATACACAACACGTTGACCTACCAGAGGTAGATAGGAAGAGGAGTGTGTACACAAACACAGGCTGGCCCTAGACCTACTTATACAACACGTTATTCTACCACAGGTAGATAGGGAGAGTAGTGTGTACACAAACACGGGCTGGCCCTAGACCTACTTATACAACACGTTAATCTACCACAGGTAGATAGGGAGAGTAGTGTGTACACAAACACAGGCTGGCCCTAGACCTACTTATACAACACGTTAATCTACCACAGGTAGATAGGGAGAGTAGTGTGTACACAAACACAGGCTGGCCCTAGACCTACTTATACAACACGTTACTCTACCACAGGTAGATAGGGAGAGGAGTGTGTACACAAACACGGGCTGGCCCTAGACCTACTTATACAACACGTTAATCTACCACAGGTAGATAGGGAGAGGAGTGTGCACACAAACACAGGCTGGCCCTAGACCTACTTATACAACACGTTAATCTACCACAGGTAGATAGGGAGAGGAGTGTGCACACAAACACAGGCTGGCCCTAGACCTACTTATACAACACGTTAATCTACCACAGGTAGATAGGGAGAGGAGTGTGCACACAAACACAGGCTGACCCTACACCTACTTATACAACACGTTATTCTACCACAGGTAGATAGGGAGAGGAGTGTGCACACAAACACAGGCTTGCCCTAGACCTACATAGACATCACGTTAATCTACCACAGGTAGATAGGGAGAGGAGTGTGTACACAAACACAGGCTTGCCCTAGGCCTACATACACATCACGTTGACCTACCACGGGTATATAGGAAGTGGACTGTACACATAAATACAAACTGGAGCTAGAACTAGATACACAACACGTTGACCTACCCCAGGTAGATAGGGAGAGGAGATTGCACAAACACAGACTGAATCTAGACCTACGTACACAACACGTTCATCTATCTAAGGTGGATGCGGGTGAGTGTACACTAGAACTACATCCCTACATACACAACACGTTCATCTATCTAAGGTGGATGTGGATGAGTGTACACTAGACCTACATCCCTACATACACAACACGTTCATCTATCTAAGGTGGATGTGGGTGAGTGTACACTAGAACTACATCCCTACATAAACGACACGTTCATCTACCTAAGGTGGATGCGGGTGAGTGTACACTAGACCTACATCCCTACATAAACGACACGTTCATCTATCTAAGGTGGATGCGGGTGAGTGTACACTAGACCTACATCCCTACATACACGACACGTTCATCTATCTAAGGTGGATGCGGGTGAGTGTACACTAGACCTACATCCCTACATACACAACACGTTCATCTATCTAAGGTGGATGCGGGTGAGTGTACACTAGACCTACATCCCTACATAAACAACACGTTCATCTATCTAAGGTGGATGCGGGTGAGTGTACACTAGACCTACATCCCTACATACACAACACGTTCATCTATCTGTACACACAAACACAGACTGGTAGTAGGTTAATTTGAAATAAACTGGCTGCTGGAATATCCCTTACTAATATAAACTGCTTGTTGACTGTGAACTCGAGAACATCACGTCGGAATACATTAAGTCACTGAAGGGTTGCATAATTTGTGACCCTGTCCCCTTCACTTCTGGAGAAGCTCAGATAGACCAAGTTCTAATGTGCACCAGCACGTCTATGGTAGCTAGCTCACCATATCGTCATTCACTGCGGGATCACCGAGATGCGTCATGAGTGGGTAAGTTAAAATTGTAACAAAATGTGATACTTGGAATATCCAGAAACAAGTAACATCGAGTACAACTATAGAAATGTATCGTCAGTTGTTTTACGGATAAGCAATACTCGCTAAGTGACTGGGTCTTCCAACAACAAATAACTGTTAATGTTAGCCTTAAAACCATAATCTTTCTATTTGTATATTTATAGGTCAGTCTGTCATTATATTTCTATCCTAAACTGTAAAGACCTGGCGTGGCTATACACATTCTATGTGTAGCCGGGGAGTTGATCACCATCACCACGATCCTCGCAGTAGAAGAAGATATATTTTATTTAACCAATAATTTACGCATTTGGCTGACTAAAATCAAAACCACCAACCACCGACTCCCAATTGAAACTGGTAGTTGGTATAACCTCAATAGGGAAGACAGGCTTTGCTCTCTCTGTAAAATTAAAATTGGTGATGAATTTCATTTTACACTAGAATGCCATGAATTGTAAATATCCAAATACTGAAATATGTGTTTCACTTATGACTTGTTCTTATAAACCTCTTCTCTTACGACTAGCCCAGTATGTAAAATGTGGACCGCGTATGCTCCCCTAACAATTGTCTCATTTCTTTGTATATGTGTCGCTCTTGTCAACTCCTTTATGTCACCACGGTGATTCATGAGAAATAAACATCTTGTTCTTCTTCGTGTACAGCAGAAGTACAACACATGGTTCAGTCAGATAAAATTTCACTGACACATCAGCAATAACTGATTAACTTTCAATACATCATAATACTATAGTATAGGATTATAGGATTATTATTGACCGTCACGACAACTGACCACGCCCCTACCACACCTCAACCCATCACCTTCAGAAACGTAATTACTTGATGAACAAACTATTAACTTCAGTAGGATTCATCCATGCGTTGGATATACATTGGTACTTACACGCCAGGATAACTAGAAGACTAATACAGGCAAGCGGATTCAGCATCGTTGCGAACTAATCCAAGCAGCACTCCACAGCAAGAAAAGACAACTGTCAGACACCAGTGACTCGTCGGTGTCTCTGCGTACCCCGTTGTAGGTCCCAAGGATTGCTGATACCAGGTCAACCCCGGCACTGTACCTGCAGATACGTGGTGTTCTGCTCGAATACCCGACGCTCAGTCGGGTTTGGTTACGGTTGAGAACATCTCCGACAGAGCCTGGGCGACATGACAATATAAAACATATGTTCATTTAGAGTGGGAGAACAACCATTTAATGTTCGAGGGGTGTGGGTATGTGGGGATAATTTATTTTTTTTAAAACAGCTCCTTTTACCGCTTTTAGGATTCCCTATTTCATATCGCCACAGGTACTAGCTAATGAGTTTAGGGAAGCTAAAGCCGTAGAACGTGTCTATTTAGGGTTCATGAAACGTATTTTACATGTCAAATATCCACAACGTCTATGTTTGTATAGGGAGAATTGTGGGTACACCCATTGGTAGTAACTAGACTTGTGGGAATTTTAAACTATTGGTTGAAAATATTAAATAGTCGCACAGACAGATATATAATGTAATTTACAAAGCACAAATGACTATGTCTGCTTAATCAGAAAGAGTCGGCAAAAGAAACTTTGCACCAGATTAAAGTGACTGTAATTAAAAAAATAAAAAGAACAAAAACGTTTGAGGTGAAGTATATTTTATAAACCAACAATTCCAGAAGGTATTGAACAACTCAAACTTAAATATTAAATATTGTACACCAGACAAACAAAATCATCGGAAGATGAAAATTCAATTGTCCAGATTGTCACTGCAATTAATTAAAACACGGAAAGTGGTAACAAACACAAAATGTGTCACTTTGATAACGAATGTGGCCATCCCTTGCCTCCATACATGCAAAGACTGCACCGGACGGAAAACTTCAAACGTCAGATGAGGTCACGTGGCAAGCGGTTCCATTTATCTTGTAGAGCTTGTATCAACCCTTGCCTGTTGGTCGGTTGGTCGGACTCCATTGGGGTGGGTTGGGTTGATCGGACTCAAATGGGGGTGGGGTGGGGGGGGGGGGGGGGGGGGGGGTGGTGGGGGGTGGTGTTGGGGGGGGGGGGGGGGGGGGGGTGGTGATAAGTCAGGAGAACATGCCGGCCACGAAAAGATGTTGACGTTGTTGTTGGCAAGAAAGTCCACTACGATACAAGCTGTGTTGGGCCTGGCTTTGTCGTGTTGTTTCAAAACACCCCGGGGTTGTTGCTGGAGGTAGGGCAGCACTATAGCGTTGCGCAATGAGGTGTCCATTGATGACGACGAGTGGCGTTGCAAGGTCTTCACAAATTCCATCCCACACCATAACGCCACCCCCACGTTAGGAACGACTTCTTGAACGCAGCAAGCAACTGCCCGTTCACCTCTGCGACGGGAAACACGGTGTCTTCCATCAACTCTAAACAAACAGAACCTGCTTTCGTCCGTAAAGATGACGCTTTGCCAATCCCGATGCTGCCACCGTCGCACTGTATTAGCCCATCGTATTTGTCTGCGTCAACATCTGTCCCCTGAAACGTCTATGGGCCCTGGTACCTGCTGGTCAGTGTCGTCTGGTCACTGTGTGTGCTCACCCGCCGACCCAAAGCATTCACTTCCGATGATGTCACTGTGAGGAAGCAGTTGCGAAGGTCTTCCTGTGGCGTAGTGACCCGTGGTCTCCCTGTCCGGGGCCTGTCCGATGTCCTTCCAGTCTGTCTGAAACGCTGCAACAAGTTTCCAACGCCACACAGGAAGAGCCAACGGTTCTTGCAACGTGTAGGTGGCCCCCATCTGGACCATCCCAATAGCTCGCTACGTTGTTCTGATGTTAGCCTTGGCATTCCAAGTGTGTTTTGTTTACAATGTGAATGATTGACATTGCTACTGTGCAGATTTTATGGCCCTGTGGCACGTGCATTTCTACCAGCAATGACATCTCGTGATTTTAATTTTTTCGCATTTTCTCAAAAAACACGTGCGCATTGCCAATAAAAATTACAGGTACAACAACGATGCGTTTGGGCTATGTGTTTGTGCTTATTGGGGTTTGAACCAGTACAACTAATATAAAATCACATTATTTTCTAATGTGCAAAGTTTGTTTGCAGTTCAGTATATCTGTCTGTGCGATTATTCAATATTTTCAACCAATATTTTAAGATTCTCACAAGTCTAGTTACTACCAATCGGTGTACCCACAATTCTCCCTATACAAACAGACGTTTAACAAGTCAATTAGTCTCATGAACTCTAAATAGACACTCTCTGCGGCCTCAGCTACTCTAAACTCATTAACTAGTACCTGTGGCTCTATGAAACTGGGAATCCTGCAAGCGGTAGAAAGAGCTGTTTATAAAAAAAACATACCCACATACCCACACCCCTCGAACATTAAATGGTTGTTCTCTAAGCCTAAATGAATATATTTACATTGTCATGTCGCCCAAACCACCACTCGGAAGAGCTCTCAAGAAATCCAGCTTCATGGCACCTACTACTTCGAAGACCTCTCTAGAAGTCCATCTTCATGGCACCTACCACTAGGACGACCTTTAGAAGTCCAGTTTCATGGCACCTACCACGAGGACGCCCTCTAGAAGTCCAGTTTCATGGCACCTACCACTAGGACGCCCTCTCTAGAAGTCCAGCTTCATGGCACCTACCACGAGGACGCCCTCTCTAGAAGTCCAGCTTCATGGCACCCAAAACTGGGACGCCCTCGAGAAGTCCAGTTTCATGGCACCTACCACTAGGACGCCCTCTCAAGAAAGTCCAGCTTCATGGCACCTACCACGAGGACGCACTCTCTAGAAGTCCAGCTTCAAGGCACCTATCACTAGGATGCGTGTTTAACCTGGATTCTTTTAGGATTTCCTCCCACATTAAGCTCACTGACTATCTCAGCCATAGCCCGCCATAGAAATACACTTCCAAGGAGCCACTCAAAGATGATGGTAAATCAACACAAAACCCAGCTTCATATCAAGATATGTATTAAACCTTATGAAAATATGACAATACATAACAAGTGACATGCTAGACGAAGACAATATGCAGCAACGGATTATTGACATGGCGTCAATAAAAAGTGAAATATGTAGAAAACGAGTATAAGTTAATGTGACACTTTGCTGATTCGAGACGTGGCGACCATAAAAAGTTATGAAGGGTAACTAGTTCTTCGACACAAGTGGGTACCTATAAGACCACAGCGCCGATAAGGATTCTGTCGGGATATTTAGGTCCTCTACCTTAACAAGGTCACTGTAGCACTTACGTGTATTCTCACACATCAATGCTGCCAAATTGATCATGTGGGAATACGTGTCTGGAAAGTTCAAGTTTCATTTGCAATTCTTCTAATGACGTGTCGCAGGGATTGTGGTCCCAGGCCCTTGGTCCCACCACGGACCTTGGTCAAGCAAGGATATGCGATGACATTGATGGAATGTCTCTGACTGCTAAAATAGCTGTCTTTACTTCACATATCAAAGCTGCTAGGGCAGACAAAGAGCGCATAGTGCAGGAGCCTTATGCTTCAACCACTGAATTATCTTATCTCGACCTCGGTAAGGATGTGATAGGATTGTTTCCTGTTATCCGTGCGTTATTTTATATGTTCGTCCATACGGTTTGTGTCCGTGAGGGAGTGTGTGTGTGTGTGTGTGTGTGTGTGTGTGTGTGTGTGTGTGTGTGTGTGTGTGTGTGTGTGTGTGTGTGTGTGTGTGTGTGTGTGTGTGTATTGTGATAAAACGGGTCTTATATCGCAAAATGCATCAAATCACGTGAGCACCTTGATTAAAAAATTAAAAGATTTGGAAAATATCGGCGGTGCACATGCTTTGCAAATCCTGCAATCGACCGAAATCTGCACGACAGTTAACGAACCGGATTTCGATTTCGGTGCGCGATTTTGATTGGACTCCATAATACCAGCCTAGTTCGGCAAGGGTGGAAACTGGAGTTTTATAGTCAGTTAACTCCCTTGCCTCGGGAAGCTGGCGTGTGTGTGTATGCGTGTGTGTATGTGCGTGTGTGTGTCTGCGTGTGTCTGACTGAACATGGTTAATATAAAATTAATGTGCCTAATTTACAGCATAAACTTTGAATATGGCCGCGTCACTACAGATGACAAAATGACAAAAAAAATAATCCGAACAAAAGACCAGTTGTTGATTTCACAGTCATGGCACTTGAAACTGAAACAAAGAAATTTGTGAGATCTGTCATATAACATCAGTCGTCATAATGAAGATATAGAAGTTCGGGTTTGAACATTTAGTTTAGTTTGTTTGATATTATTCTCCACAAGAGACAAAAACAAATAGTAGAAACGCTGCAAAGGAACTGGATCGAACATCCTGATGCGTTCTGCAGCATTAATCATGATTTCATGACTACATCAGCAGCTAACACACTCACAACAGCAACTCTCTACACTACACAGCAAAATAACCCCCACAACAGCAACACTCTCCGCTACACAGCAGCAATCACCCTCACAACAGCAACTGGTACCACTGCTAAGCAGCAATCACCCTAACAACAGCAACAGTCGCTACTACACAGCAGCAATCACCCTAACAACAGCAACAGTCGCTACTACACAGCAGCAATCACCCTCACAACAGCAACAGTCACCGCTACACAGCAGCAATCACCCTCACAACAGCAACACTCTCCACTACACAGCAGCAATCACCGTCGTTATGATCCCCAATCAGCAACTGTCATACACAGATCCTTAGTTTACATACAGATGAATAACTTCGGGTAGAGGGGTCCATATCCTCTCATACACTCTCACTAAACAAATGTTAACGATACTTGATAATGTGGTTAAACTGAACGATGTTGCAAACATACCTTCTTTGCATGTAGAATCTAATTCTGTGAAGAGGAAGTTGCCCTGACATGCGCAGACGCCACCAATGCCGCATTCAGAATTTCCGATCAACTGACAGTCTGCGTTGTTGGAACACGAATACCCGATGGTGCCTCTCATATCTGTAGTAGTAATAATTATTGCAATAAGAAGAAGAAGAAGAAGAGAAGAAGAAGAAGAAGAAGAATATTTCGGACGTACCAACACTTCTTGCGTGTGCGAAAGCAACAGGATGTTCAGAAACACCACGAATAAATGGCAAATTATTGAAGCAGCGATGGGACAAAGCCATGCCAATGTATGCATACCTGACAGAGCAGAATATTCGCGACCAGCTCCGGCGGATGCTCTGGTGGTGAGCTAATCCGTCAGTCTGCTTTGCATGAACCCTTCGTTCCAACAGTAGCAAACCCGTAATTGCAAATGGACGTTCGCATTGTTCTCCCTGAATTACCTGATGCAGTTGACACTGATGACCCACTCATAGGCTCACAAAATTAAATCCCTGATGTTATCAGTCTCGAATATTTTCAGTTTTCCCCCTCTTCCGATTATTTTTCTGTCGATGATCTTTCGGATCCCTTGTAATTTTGTTCATGTCATTTCATAATCAAATCTGTGATTTACCGATCATTTCCGCAGAATTAACTTCATAAATTAAATGATTTTTACTGTTTCTCTCAATGCAACTCTCTGTTCTTTTCATGACACAAACTGATGCGTCTGTGCTGCTGCTCGAACACTGGAGGCACTCTATACAGTATCCAAAGACATTGAACCACAAAAGGGTAACAAACAAATTCACCTAAGGAAAAGCCATCTTCCCGAGGCAAGAGAGTTAACTGACTTTAAAAGTCCAGTTTCCACCCTTGGCGAACTAGCCTGGAATTCTTGGGCTCGATCGTAGCGCCACCAGTGGCTATTACGATTAATGCCCTTTCTATCCCTCTCCTATTGACCAATCAGATTCAACCTCTCGTATCACTAACATTTGCTTCAAACAAAACGGTGGCGCCCAGTCAGGACGATCTGATCGATAATCAAGATTGTGATCAAACGAGTTTTACATCGCGAGGTGCATCAAATCACGTGAGCACCTTGATCAAAAACATGAAAAGATAGAGAAAATATTTGTTGACAACGAGTTAGCGGTGCACATGCTTTGCAAATCCTGCAGTCGACCGAACTATGCATGACACTTTACGAACCGGATTTCGATTTCGGTGCGCGTTTTGATTGGACTATGCATAGTCTCGTTAGTCTAGCCAAGTGTAACTCCATAATACCAGCCTAGTTCGACAAGGGTGGAAACTGGACTTTTACAGTCAGTTAATTCACTTGCCTCGGGAAGATGACCCGCTAACTGTAACCTCGAGGAACCATGGGTAGAGGATTACAATGATAGAGTGCATGAAACAATAAGGTCATCATTGTTGTGTTTCTTTACACATTTTTGCCTGCATAATGAAATTAAAAAGTCCAAATTTAATACGGTACCAGGGCCTGATAGTATTCGAAATCGGTTTCCTTGTATCCAAACACCATTATTTCACTGTTTGATTCTCTTTTGGATACAGGGGATGGTCTCCCAAAGAGACTGATCCCAAACACTTTCGCCCTATTACTTGCCTGATTTCAAAATCCCTAACACCACATGTGTTACATGTGCTTCAGTGTGGCGGCAGGAAAGTCAAGCTGCTGAACACGGTCACCCATCTAACTACTCTCCGCCACCAATTATGCCTAACTTCGCCTGATTGTGACCTCCAAACTATGCACATTGACAGACTATCACATAAAGAATAATATACGCATTATGGAGCCCGACCACGTGATCAACAAGAGAACTAGGATTACAACATTGTCGTGAATAAGCCAAACAACACATATGGTGCTCAGTTCAACAGTTAATCCGTATCTGGGTTAAGCCATAGTACGTACACTGCTAATGTGGCACGTGCTGTTTTATTACCTTTAAGACTTGATTTCATTGAATGGCGAAAGTCACATTAAGAGTTGGTCAGTAAGTGTTCTGGCATTGATACATTGTAGCTTGATACCCTCAAGCGCTAATTGAGACGAGTCAGTGAATATTGTTTTACGCTACCGTCAACAATATTGCATCTACATTACCGCGGTGTATAGATAATCAAATCTAGCCATGTAAACCAGTGGTCAATAGCATGGTGACCAATAAAAGCCGTCGATGTACCATTACAAACAATGAGCTGTGACACCGCCCGAGCAGTACTTAAAGGAATCTGGGGATATCTACATGTCGGGGGGCGTGTAACTGCCCATCAGATGCAAACACCGACCTTTGGTGCATGTCATGGGATCGTCCTCGGCATCATAGATATGCCCTGCTGTACATGCGCACATGCCGTTGGAGCCACACTCGGAGTTCACCACCATCTGACAGTCAGTGTTGTCTGTGCACTTGAAGCCTATGGATCCGTATGCTGGAATAACAAATCATCACCATGTTATGAAAAGTAAGTTACTTGCGGTCATAAATCATTATGTTGTGAATAATTTTAAGTTTGTAATAATTAGCAATATTTCAACAACAGTACACCAGCGAACGCCATCCACAAATTTTCTGAAGAACACATCGTTGCACAATAATATTCAGTGGAGATGGTTATAGAAGGGAGACGTGAGCCATGACATCTATTTGACAAATCTGCTGTTATAATGTTAATAAAAGTCGAAACAGCTCCGCTTCGTGGTCCATTCTAGATAGAGTTAAAAGATCCCCACAAATCAGCAGGGAGACTACCCGTGAAGATCCGGGTAAGCATAGGTCTTACGCTGGTCGTAAGAAGCGACTAACGGGATCGGGTGGTCAGGCTCGCAGATGTTGTTGATGCATGTCATCGTTTCCAAATTGCGTTGATCGATGCTCATGATATCAATCTCTGGAATGTCTGATTACAGATCGCCTTCAAATAGCTGGAATATTGCGGCGGTAAACAACAGACAAACAAACAGCAAGGAGACACGTACCACATTTGAAGTCAGCCCGTAGAACTGAATCTGAAATATAAAATAAGGCCCAGTTAAGGGTGATATGTGATGATCAAGACTATCGTCTCCTTTCATGTGAAAAAAAGTCTTATATCTATTTATTATTCTATACCAAACAGCGAGGCTTTCCTCATATTGCTGATTCATAATGAATATAATTAGAACTCTTGAAATCGCCATATGTGCAATAATACATTCGTAAGGATTCCGTGTGATTGAAACAATAATAGGATTTTCTGATTTACGCCGCCCCTAAAAACTGTCCAGGATGTCCGATGATACTCACCCGTGAAACATGCCGACATGTGGTTGTCCCGCTGCAGAGTCAGGAAGTCGGTGGCGTTCTGTGTATCGTACAACCCACACTGACAGTACGTCTCCTCCATGCATTCTATAAACACCTTCTGGCCTCTGCAATGCAGTTTCATAGGTTTACTGTACAGCTACAAATCTGCATTTTGTTTTACGCAGCTCTCAGACTTGTAAATTGGAACGGGCGGTTGGGGTAGTGTACTCTTGTGACCGATGTATTTCATCTGTCAAGTTGGATTAACGACCATCAGTAAATTAAACAACGCATGATGCAAAAGGGATACTTATCATGGGCTGCTCTAATTGCCAGATCGTTGACTCACGCGCAAAGTTTCTTGATATTCTTTTCAAAGAGTGCTATCCCTGTTGAATTGTCCAGAGTATTGTAGCAGGGTTTTACCCCAGGACAGGTAGAATACAGGTCTACCACAGACGGATCTGTAAACACAACATGTAACTATATTTATATAATGCCTATAATTATCTAGCATGTATATCATTGAACAAGCATGGACCCTAGAAATCCCACAGAATCTACTTCAGGGATTTCAAGAAACCCCCAAAGCCTCCTTCGGATAACCTCCAATGTGTATATTGTGAGACATGTGACTCCTGAATCAGAACATTTTTATGAAACAACTATCAATATTTTCTTTTCATTTGAGACTGTGTTTCTTGAAATGACGTAGACATTGACGGACTACTTCCACATTCCTGGGGAAACCCCTGGGAATTCCCTTGCACGAATACATACAGAAGCGTTGTTTCTGATCATTTAGATCCAGTGATCTTAAACTCAGCGTTTCAGTATTCATTGAGCAACGTCAGAGAGTTTGACTGCATGATCGTTTACAAATATCCTCGCTACGACCATGTTAGTAAACAAAACGAAGAAATGCACATCCAAATTATCGAAGTATCGACTCGATCCGTGTCCAATCTGACAGTGACAGTCTACAGAAATCTGTGAATTTACCTTAGTGTCTAATTAACACATCTTTAATCACCTTTCAATGATCGACCAGTTGATCAATGATGACTAAAACATGTAACCGACGCGCTGTCATTGTGACTGACTTCCTTAGGTTGATCTTAGCAGACATTTATCACCTAAAGAGGATATTATCTGAATACATTTGTTGTAAGGAAACTAAAAACGTTGTTCCTGTTGAGCATGTTGAGTATACATAAGCTCATGTCACCTCTCGTTTTGGGGATCTATTTTAATCCGCGATACAGCTGGTTGTTGTATGGCTGTCAGTGTAAATATGAATTCACGTGTACTAAATAGGGGCCTATTGCGTATAGATCTAGATCCTTTGAGGTACAAAATAGTGATACAATTATTTTTTATAAGAATTGACTTTCATTTTGTGTGAGTTCATTGGAGTATGAACCTTCATAGAGTGAGGGCAAAACATTGTATGAACGTCGTCGAAAGCTCCGAAGTCCATTCAGTTTGGCCCTCACCCTATGTAGGTTTATATACTCCAATGAACTCGCACAAAGTGGAAGTCATTTCTTAAATGTTTCAGGGTATATTTCCTGTTACAGATGTCGGCCGTGTATTCCCAGTAGTCAACACTCTACAACAGTCATGTACATATCTCATTGTGTCCTCTGTGCTTATAGACAGCTGCAGAGAAAGAATTTGAGCACTTAAGAAAAGGTTATATGAAAACCTAACCTAACAGTTTCTTTCATGTAATATTGGTAGAAAGCAGTAATGTGTAAGAAGCAGTTATGTGTAAGAAACAGTGATACGTGAGAAGCAGTAATGCATGAGAACCAGTAATGTGTAAGAAGCAGTGATGCATGAGAACCAGTAATGTGTAAGAAGCAGTGATGCGTGAGAACCAGTAATGTGAAAGAAGCAATAATGCGTGAGAACCAGTAATGTGTAAGAAGCAATGTGTTCACCTTCAGACAGGGCGATGATGAGGCGGTCTTCATCTTCCCGCGTGCCAGTGCCATCTAAACATATTAATACATTTCAACATTTTCAACATTTCAATTCAACAGGCAACACGCTTTTACATGATGTGTTTTAAATGTGATGATTGACAAATATTACAAAAAGTTAAAAAAATAACAAAGTCTGTCCGTATGCCACGACAACAACAACATACCAGGACACGCCAGGCCAGACACAATGTTCACCGGGCCAGCAACTACAAAACAAAAACGTACATGTCACAATCTGCTTTTCTCTCAAACATTTTTACAGAACATCCTATCGAATTATATAGAGGAAAACAAATTACAAACAAATAATTCATTCATGACTAACGTATGGTTCATTGAATGTGCGGTTCAATGTATTTTGTGATACAGTTAGCTTTGTTCCATCTGTTTCTCCTAGGCCTGTAAATAATTCAGTGTTGGTGAGTAGCATATTCAGATTTTTAAATTGTTCAATTCCCACCATTTAGCAAGAACAGAAAATATAACTTTAAGCACTACAAATTTAATTATACGAAACGTAATTCAGACATCTATCTTACAGCATCGCAACTCATGATTTCGACATAAGCACATGTGACTGAATATTACCGGCAGCGCAGTTGGAGTCGTTGAAGGAGGCGGCAACGACAGTAACAGCTCTGTAGACGCTAGGAGCCCGGATGAGGCCGCATTCGCACGCCACCTCTTCTGTACACTGAATGTACGTCTTAAGAGCCCTGTGCAAAATACACGCACAGACATCTTCTGTAGCATTGTTATAACTGTTATTATCGTTTTAATATACCTCGAAATAACCAAAAGATTCATTCCCCGAAAAGTTTTCATTAAGATTTGTGTCTACATAACGGCCTGGATATGTTGATCCAAGATGTTGCACGTGAACGCCCCGTGGTCAAACGATTTTATTTCCCCGCCGTGCCCATCAAGGGTGGACAGACGTACAGACATACTGGACAGCTAGATGGACGACTCACGGGCACCTGACGTCCTGCGTGTTTCCTCTGCTCACCAGAGTGTTGTCCAGTTCCAAGAAGCACTTGTAGATTGGGTTCTTGGTGTCACACACAGTCTGAGCCACAGCCGTGCCATTGTCTGCACCAACAAAATGTAGTTTCGTTATGTCTCGTCATCTTATGTATTTACAAGTGACACCTCGGGAAGTTCACACATTGTTGTAAAAGACAGCTTAATTACGAATCAGATAGTCAAAAAGGTTGTTGTGTGTGAACGGTGTAGGAGTGGTGTCTGCTTGTATGAATCCACTACGAAGGCATGGTTTACTTCGTCCATGCCCAGTAGCACTAATCAAACCCCACGCGATATTTGAAAGTACGAACTGACCTGAGCACAGGATGCCTTTCTTGGGAAGGATATCGGGCTTAACTGTAAACAGATCAGGAAATCATGTTACAAAACGTCCACATCATTGAAGTCTTATGACGAAATTTCAATCCTGACACAAGGGATATTCAAGATTATATGTCAGGCATTACTATCGATGTTACCCCTCATCCAGAAAGGTACTTCTATCACAAGGATCGTCAAGATTATATATCAGGAAATGCCATACCATCGATGGTAAGCCTAATCCAGATGGTACACTCACCAATAGAACAGGTCTATGTATGAACCTGCTTGTATATTGGAGCACACTCACCAATAGAGCAGGCCTATGTATGAACCTGCTTGTGTATTTGAGCACACTCACCAATAGAGCAGGCCTATGTATGAACCTGCTTGTGTATTTGAGCACACTCACCAATAGAGCAGGTCTGTGTATGAACCTGTTTGTGTATTTGAGCACACTAACCAATAGAACAGGTCTATGTATGAACCTGCTTATGTATTTGAGATCACTCACCAATAGAGCAGGTCTATGTTCGAACCTGCTTGGGTATTTGAGCACACTCACCAATAGGACAGGTCTATGTATGAACCTGCTTATGTATTTGAGATCACTCACCAATAGAGCAGGTCTATGTACGAGCCTGCCTGTGTATTTGAGCACACTCACCAATAGAGCAGGTCTGTGTATGAACCTGCTTGTGTATTTGAGCACACTCACCAATGGAACGGGTATATATATGAACCTGCTTGTGTATTTGAGCACACTCACCAATAGAACAGGTCTATGTATGAACCTGCTTGTGTATTTGAGCACACTCACCAATAGAGCAGGCTTATGTGTGAGCCTGCTTGTGTATTTGAGCACACTCACCAATAGAGCAGGTCTATGTATGAACCTGCTTGTGTATTTGAGAACACTCCCCAATAGAGCAGGCCTATGTATGAACCTGTTTGTGTATTTGCGATCACTCACCAATAGAGCAGGCCTATGCATGAACCTGCTTGTGTATTTGAGCACACTCACCAATGGAACAGGTCTATGTATGAACCTGCTTGTGTATTTGAGCACACTCACCAATAGAGCAGGTCTATGTATGAACCTGTTTGTGTATTTGCGATCACTCACCAATAGAGCAGGCCTATGTATGAACCTGCTTGTGTATTTGAGCACACTCACCAATGGAACAGGTCTATGTATGAACCTGCTTGTGTATTTGAGCACACTCACCAATGGAACAGGCCTATGTATGAACCTGCTTGTGTATTTGAGCACACTCACCAATGGAACAGGTCTATGTATGAACCTGCTTGTGTATTTGAGCACACTCACCAATGGAACAGGCCTATGTATGAACCTGCTTATGTATTTGAGCACACTCACCAATGGAACAGGCCTATGTATGAACCTGCTTATGTATTTGAGCACACTCACCAATGGAGCAGGTCTGTGTATGAACCTGGTTGTTGTACACGACGTCCTCGATCAGCTTGGTATTGTTGCTCTCACCGCATGCGCAGGCGGCGTTCTCGAGACAGACGATAGTCTCGTCAAGGACGCTGGAAATCACATGTCAAAACTGAGAAATCAAAATCAAATGTCAGGATGTTTTGACAACGATCTCAAATTGTCGTGTACTTGGCATGCGTCTACACAGTTGTATTAGGACAGCCTGTAAGGTCAAACCAAAGTTGTGTTTAAAATCATTAGCAACTATTCATGCTTTCGGGATATGATAATATGAACTTACACTCGGCCCTTACACAGCTTATAGAGGTTTGGGGGATCCCTGGAGCCTCAACGATGCTTTCTGTAACAGGGCTGAGTTGAAAGCTCCTGACATAAGAATGTGTTTCACTGCCCGTATCCGTGTTGGAATCGAACCCGGGTCTTCAGTGTGTAACTTAGCTGTCCCACCGCCCAGGTAGATCAAAGCTCACAATTGTGTAGTTGTCCTGGGATGGCGAAGAAGGCAAATACCCAACAGGAATATACAGCACATATGACTAAGATTCAACTAAGTACTTCTCAGAAATCGATGACGATTTTATGCCGACATTATTACCAAAGCGTAATTATAAACACACTAAAATGAATCCTGAAAGAGTTGACAAATAAACGGGTTTGTAAATGCAAGATCAAGTGAGTAGGTTTCGTAAACTCGTAATTTCTTTGGAATTGTATGTACACATAAAATAGGATAGATGTGGTGAGTAGCTTAGTGATTAAAACGCCGATATTATGCTGACCCTCAGCAAGACTATTCTGTAAAAACACTGTGTTGTGAACACCCCATCCCTCCCTCCTTCCTTCACTCCCTCACTCAAACCCTCCCTCCCTCACTCTCTCCATCACTCCCTCCCTCCCTCCCTCCTTCCCTCACTCCCTCACTCAATCCCTCCCTCCCTCACTCTCTCCATCACTCCCTCCCTCCCTCATTCCTTCCCTCCCTCCCTCACTCACACACTCTCTCCATCACTCCCTCCCTCCCTCATTCCTTCCCTCCCTCCCTCACTCACTCTCTCCATCACTCACTCCAGGTAGAAATGTAACACCCCTGACTCACCTGCATAAAGACACGAGGTTCCTCTCGTGCAGAGCGAGGGCGGCCTTGGTGTCGTAGGTAACGTAACACGCCTGGAAACCATTGCACTCCGCCTCAAGGTCAAGGACGAGTGGACCTGCAGAAAGAACATATAAACATACACAATGTAACATCTCGTCTGGCCAAACATACATTAGGTAACTTCTAGTCTGGCTAAATATACATTAGGTAACATCTAGTCTGGCTAAATAAACATTAGGTAACAACTAGTCTGGCTAAATATACATAAGGTAACAACTAGTCTGGCTAAATATACATTAGGTAACATCTAGTCTGGCTAAATATACATTAGGTAACATCTAGTCTGGCTAAGTATACATTAGGTAACATCTAGTCTGGCTAAATATACATTAGGTAACATCTAGTCTGGCTAAATATACATTAGGTAACATCTAGTCTGGCTAAATATACATTAGGTAACATCTAGTCTGGCTAAATATACATTAGGTAACATCTAGTCTGGCTAAATATGTATCAGGTAACATCTAGTCTGGCCAAACATGAGATGTACGTACCGACTGAGGTGGCAAGCACGCAGTCTTTATCAGATGTACGTACCGACTGAGGTCGCAAGAACACGGTCTTGATAAGATGCTGTAACGACTGAGGTGGCAAGCACACAGTCTTTATGAGATATACGTACCGACTGAGGTGGCAAGCACTAACAACTCTCCTTCAGTCACGGAACCAGTGGCGTTATCTACAAGAAAACAAACATGTCACAATCAAACTTGGGATGGTGCGATAGGTGAATATTATGACTAAAACTGAAAGCTTGTACTTGAGAGTACGCCGTGTATATGTCGCATAGAGAGTGTTGTACCAAGGATACAGTGAATGAAAACAGTAGATCTGACGAGACGGACAGCTGGAGGATTCAAATGCTTCTGGCTTTAAAAAAAAGGATTTGTGGGGTCCATTTAGACTTCATTGGGGGTGGGGTCCATCCAAAAGCTTACCCAAAATATCCCAAACACGGTATTAATTTTACTTTAACAACCAAATGAACATGTTTAAAGGTAGGATGATTGGGGTTTTTTAAATTTAAACAAGAGGGCGTCCACCCTCAGAACACCCCATTCCCCGGATCCGCGACTGAATAAGAATATATAATGTATAATATAGCTCACCGTTCGAACATTAAGTGCGATTATTGAAAACAGGAAAAGTGAACTGAAGAAAGATCTCTGCCCCGGGTACTATAAGAAATATTGTTTATTTTAATCTTAAAATTCCAGATATTCTGGTATGAATGCTAAGTTGATACACAAGACCACTGAGGAACACGTCATAGTCATGTAGCATTACCATAGCATGGTATTCCTCTGTTGGGAACAAATTCACCAGTGTCTGCAAAATAGAAACAAAATACTTCAAAAAATAATTCGTAATGTATATAAATACGAGGGTTATAGGGGGTGTGTAGCTAGTATTACACCAAGAATGGAGTGGGTGACAATGATGTCTACATGACGTCAAGTGTACTGGAAGGGGAGACAACCGAGTACAGCAAGTGTTGACCTGGCTGAATGAAACCCCGACTGTCAGCCTCCAAACACTGCCACCTTCCATCAAGCTAGCACCTCCTGACGCCATCAGCTCAATGTTACATGTTGATAATACAGTGACCCTAAGACACGTCTGTGCACACTGAACCATGTATACTCGCTAAAGGGCGAAAGAATGTATGTGTTCCAGGTATGTAAATTACCGTGTGCGTATTAAGCTTTATGAGGAAATTATTATCCATTGTGTGACTCTTGTGCTAGCTAACCCCTGCCATTTCCCCAGGGAGGATTTTATGCGCAACAGAATATCATGCTGATTTTTATTATTAGATCTGATAGTGATTATCTGTGACAACTGTGTGATTGATCGAGTAGGTGCCCGGGTGTTTATGTATGAATGTATTTAATACTTCATAATCATCCATTCGGAAAGTGTTATATTTTCAGACGCACGCGAATATAATTACATCTTATTTCAGTGTTTCACTACTGGTCATACACTCACATCCGGGTAACATGAATGTACATGTCCACACTGGGTGATATTGGGATCGGGTGGTCACAATGGCTGTGAAAATGAACATATCTGGCGATTATCCGGACATTGACCTATGCTCACACTATCGATCACTGGTTGTTTAGTCGAGGTTTGTTTGATTTATTGGCTCCTGTGGGAAAGCTAGTGTTGATCCTCTCTGCACCGTCTGGTATACTACAAGTCCATCAGAATCGCGGACCATGCAAACCAATGGTCAGAGAGCATCAGTATATCTGATCGGACAGGCAATCAAGTACTTGACAACTTGAACTCCAAGCAATCCAAGTATTAGTCATACTCAACACCCATGTTGCCCTGTGACCTCAACTGAAGACGGTTCTAACCATGTGCATGGGATACTAGCGTCCCACCCGACTGCAATCCCCAATAACTTGTGTTTACCACCTTGGCTTTGTCATAACTGAGTCTTGTCTGCCTTAACCTACGATCAACCTTAATCTGGGGATTAGCGTTCCCAGTGAGAAAGGATTAAGGGAGTTATCTGTCCATTTGCATTTAAATATACATTGGAAGAGTATTTAAAGGCGCGTTTCCAGAATGCGGTGTGGCGGTGTATGGAGTACTGACACTGTTGACACTGCTGGTACGAGTAGAACCCCACGATGTAGGTCAGCTGGTTGGCTACTCCGGGGACGGTGGTCAGCTTGCACTCACAGGCCACGTACTCCACACACTCTATATACGTCAGGATGGCACTGCAACATAACAACGTGGCAATTAAAGACACAGATAGACAGCAAAACGACAAATTAAGACTAAGTTAGATAGACAACAAAGTGACAAATATGGACACGGGTGGGCGGACAGTGAGACAACAACGTGACAAATTAAGACTAAGTTAGACAGACAACAAAGTGACAAATATGGACACGGGTGGGCGGACAGTGAGACAACAACGTGACAAATTAAGACTAAGCTAGACAGACAACAAAGTGATAAATATGGACACGGGTGGGCGGACAGTGAGACAACAACGTGATAAATGAAGACAAAGTTAGACAGACAACAAAGTGACAAATATGGACACGGGTGGGCGGACAGTGAGACAACAACGTGATAAATGAAGACAAAGTTAGACAGACAACAAAGTGACAAATATGGACACGGGTGGGCGGACAGTGAGACAACAACGTGATAAATGAAGACAAAGTTAGACAGACAACAAAGTGACAAATATGGACACGGGTGGGCGGACAGTGAGACAACAACGTGATAAATGAAGACAAAGTTAGACAGACAACAAAGTGACAAAAAAGGACACGGGTGGGCGGACAGTGAGACAACAACGTGATAAATGAAGACAAAGTTAGACAGACAACAAAGTGACAAAAAAGGACACGGGTGGGCGGACAGTGAGACAACAACGTGATAAATGAAGACAAAGTTAGACAGACAACAAAGTGACAAAAAAGGACACGGGTGGGCGGACAGTGAGACAACAACGTGATAAATGAAGACAAAGTTAGACAGACAACAAAGTGACAAATATGGACACGGGTGGGCGGACAGTGAGACAACAACGTGATAAATGAAGACAAAGTTAGACAGACAACAAAGTGACAAAAAAGGACACGGGTGGGCGGACAGTGAGACAACAACGTGATAAATGAAGACAAAGTTAGACAGACAACAAAGTGACAAATATGGACACGGGTGGGCGGACAGTGAGACAACAACGTGATAAATGAAGACAAAGTTAGACAGACAACAAAGTGACAAAAAAGGACACGGGTGGGCGGACAGTGAGACAACAACGTGATAAATGAAGACAAAGTTAGACAGACAACAAAGTGACAAATATGGACACGGGTGGGCGGACAGTGAGACAACAACGTGATAAATGAAGACAAAGTTAGACAGACAACAAAGTGACAAAAAAGGACACGGGTGGGCGGACAGTGAGACAACAACGTGATAAATGAAGACAAAGTTAGACAGACAACAAAGTGACAAATATGGACACGGGTGGGCGGACAGTGAGACAACAACGTGATAAATGAAGACAAAGTTAGACAGACAACAAAGTGACAAAAAAGGACACGGGTGGGCGGACAGTGAGACAACAACGTGATAAATGAAGACAAAGTTAGACAGACAACAAAGTGACAAATATGGACACGGGTGGGCGGACAGTGAGACAACAACGTGATAAATGAAGACAAAGTTAGACAGACAACAAAGTGACAAATATGGACACGGGTGGGCGGACAGTGAGACAACAACGTGATAAATGAAGACAAAGTTAGACAGACAACAAAGTGACAAATATGGACACGGGTGGGCGGACAGTGAGACAACAACGTGATAAATGAAGACAAAGTTAGACAGACAACAAAGTGACAAATATGGACACGGGTGGGCGGACAGTGAGACAACAACGTGATAAATGAAGACAAAGTTAGACAGACAACAAAGTGACAAATATGGACACGGGTGGGCGGACAGTGAGACAACAACGTGATAAATGAAGACAAAGTTAGACAGACAACAAAGTGACAAATATGGACACGGGTGGGCGGACAGTGAGACAACAACGTGATAAATGAAGACAAAGTTAGACAGACAACAAAGTGACAAATATGGACACGGGTGGACAACATGACAATGACGACACCGATAGACAACACAGCGACAAATAGAGACACATTTGGAAAACGTTCAATCAAGGAATCTGTAGTACGGACGCGCATAACCTACTTGCAGCTGGTTGTCATGTTCCTTGCCGATGCGATGGAGTTCTGCATGATTGTGTAACAGTTGTTGAGATAGTCAAACTGTCTGCACTCCTGCTCCGTCAGGCCATGGCACACGGCTGAAAGAAGATATGTGATTCACATCAAGCTTATCTCGACATGCTATCATCTCCATTCCTGTAGACGTTACACTAGAAGACAATCATATACTAGTATATCGGCTCATCGCACACACAAGAACGCTCACGAAATTAAGGCGTTTCGTCAGATCAGGTCTCGAAAGTCTTCATACTGATATTTCAACTTTTTTTGCTGTGCTAATAATAAAAACAATGACACACAAAGCTGATGTGGACTATATATAAACTTTATAACATCAAGAAATAATGTAGGGTAAACGGCATTTAAAACAGTATTTCAATAACATCACGGCGTGCTCAATTTTGTAGGAAAGTCGAAAGCCACAGGTAGCTGCTCATCAAAGTACTTTAGTAAGGCTGAAGGGGGTTGCTGTCTTACAGGGCACCTTCCTGCACACTGAAATGTATCTTAAGGGAACTCGAAACATACAAATATACCCCGGCTTTGCTACGTCCGTCACTGGAGCCAGGGCGAGTCTATTCCATCCATTCGTGTCAAACATATACTGCCAAGCTATGGTAATTTGTGTACTCTGGTTGAGGTAAGGGTACATGTCAGCGTACAACGCCTGGACACCTGGGTACACGTGTACTTCCCTATACCAAAACGACTACTTCAGCTTGATACTTGAGGACAGCTACACAAATATGTAACACTTTATACCATTACTTTATGTCTTGGGGCAAGAATAGCATTGTCTCTCCCTTTTCTGGTAAGTAACTGGACTACGGGAAAACAGGTGGTATGCCCTGCATTATGGGGGTTGTTTCACGACAGGAAATATACGGTCATAGGCTAGCCATGTATGTAGAAAGGATACCAGGCGATGTGTCCCCACGGAGACTCGTACCTAAAATTCTCCGATCCGGACCTGATTTGGAGTATCCGTACTTTATTTGGATGACCCATACACAAATCTAGATGATCCGCGCACAAATCTAGATGATCCGTACACAAATTTGAATGACCCATACACAAATCTAGATGATCCATACATAAATCTAGATGATCCGTACATAAATCTAGATGATCCGTACACACAGCTAGATGATCCGTACACACATCTAAATGATCCGTACATAAATCTAGATGATCCGTACACACATCTAGATGATCCGTACACACATCTAGATGATCCGTACATAAATCTAGATGATCCGTACACAAATCTAGATGATCCGTACACAAATCTAGATGATCCGTACACAAATCTAGATGAACCGTACACAAATCTAGATGATCCGTACACAAATCTAGATGATCCGTACACAAATCTAGATGAACCGTACACAAATTTGGATGACCCGTACACAAATTTGGAGGACCTGTATCCACACAAAACAATTAATGTCTGAATTGAAAACATGTTTAATCAATGCGTTTGCGGTGCAGCTGATACTATTCAGCAATGGCTGGAAGTACTAAATGGATTATAAGCTATACAAAAATTGTTTCATAATAACAGCCCGGTCACCACAGTATCTACGGTGTCAAATAGCAGTTACTGTAGAAATGTCGTAATAATGAAATAATGCTTGCTCGAAAGATCTTTCTTAAAGAAAGTGGTCGAAATCTGACGGTGCCAAATCTGGTTTGTATGGTCCAAGACGTATATACGTCTTTGGTATGGTGATGTTCAATGAACAACACACCCAGTGTTTCATCGACCCTACAACTAACGCTTACTCAATCCCCAAGCAATAATCCTCAGCAAAACGTCACCGAACGAAAGCATCACAGATTGGCGAAAACGGAACCTCGTCACAAAGCGAAAACTGTGCCGTTTTCGCTACAAGATATTGGTGACGTTTTGCTGAGGTGCCGTTTTAGCCTGAACTCATCCTTCCCCTCCCCGTGCTCTGGTCAAAGTTAACGAGGGATTTGGCTCGGGTCAAATGTCCTGGGCGGCGGATCCTGAGGAGGAGGGGATCCAGGGGGTCTTGGGAGGTGATTTAGATATTTTGGACCCCTCCCTGTTAAAAATGCTGGATCCGAACTTGTTTGGCAACTCCAACAAGTTTTGAATCAGAGGTCATTTTAACGCCACCATGTACACTGCCCCTACTCCTAACCTCGGTACGTCCAGTGACAAAGCTCCGCCTCAACTGTCTCTCATATCTCCGTTTCTCGTGTAGGTACAGAGCTTCTGTAGTGGGCGGAGTCTGTGACCTATTGTTGCTGGCGCCATAACTCATCGCTTTATTTGTCTAGTTCAACTATTCAACTGATAGTAATACTGTTTAAGTCGCAAGATTGGAATTAAGAACGTCTACCTGGTGTTTGAGAAAGTGTTTAAAATTAAGAACGTCTTCCTGGTGTTTGAGAAAGTATTTAAATTGTGAAGGGTCCTAAAGACGTAAAATTGAAACAAATATTTTCCAAAAATGGTAGTTACCGTCAACATATGTTCTTAAACGACTTAATATCGTCATCAGTACATCATGCATAAAAGAATGCATACAACTGATTTCTAAATGTCCACACAATATGTTTAATAATTTGTAATTTTTATTGGATAAGTAAGTAAAGCACGCCATTGTGTAACAGGCAGTCAGAAACTGTTATGCAATATGGAGAAAATAACGAATCAACGTCATGACGCTGACAGTTTGCTCTATTTTCTTTAATTTATTTTCAAACTGTTGGTAAAGCATATGTAAAAATATTAAATGTAAATTCTTACCTAAACCAAAGACTATCCCCACTGCGGTAAGCACAAGCCGGGGCATGGTGTCCGACACTGTAGCGATGAAGGAACGAGTAGCAGGAAGCAACTGCAATAGCGAAACAATATCCCCGTCGATTGTAAAACTTGGAAGAATTATATTTTGGAGTGGTTCCCGTCCCGTGACCGGCGTTCAGACTGAAGTTTCCTCAAAGGCCTGTTTGAGACACTGGATGGCCGGGTAATCAGCTCAGACTTTCTCACGATTCACTGGCGGTGGGGCGTTATAAGTCACCTGACGTGGAGATCGAGCGTCACGCGTCACTGGTGACGCTATCGGAACATCACACCCTTGGGGTTGTTTTCATAGACAGTGATATTAACAATACGAATTGAAAGTACCGGTCACGAGAACAAGGCTTGGCAGTAGGTTAAAGGTTTAATGGAAACATGTGGATCAATTTGTCATTATATCTTTGCACAACTGTCACTGCTTAGTTAAAATGTCCACATCCTTTGAGGTAAACACCTTTTACTAGCATACATTATGTCTATATCATAATAAGTGTCCTTGGATATTGCTTGTCTGCAATGTGTCTGAAACTACAATGGAAGTTCCACTATATAATTCTCTGAAACGCCTTTACCAGGGAGACGGCATACTTTAGGATTAAACAAATATAGTTGTTTGAATATTGCTTCAGTGATGTTCAAGGCTATCACCTTCCAATACGTTAGATCACACCACAGTCACATTTGGCCTCATTCCAAGTGTGTTGTAGTTCTGTTGTCTGCGATTGTTTCTCACAGCCTCGCAGACAATATTAAACTTTGACTCACTCAAGACCTCAATCCAAAGATCCTAAACACCTTCACCGTACTGGTTTGAAGGTTAAGAGTATTACAATCGTGTTAGGACATATATGAGGTGCAACACGTCATCATCTCTAGCCATGTATTATCGTGGTGTTTGTATATGCTACACCTGCCGACTCAGTACTTCAAGGTAACACCGACCTAGAAGCGATGTATTGTTGCAATCTCATGCCAGGGGCAGAAATACATGAAGGATATTATTGTTGGGATTACTAGATGTCGCCTTTGACACACATTATCATCATTGATTAATGTAAATATTTCAATTTTTATTTAAACATCTGGTCATGAAATTTCATGTTTCTGAGATAGCTTGTTTCAATATGTTGCGTTACCTTTTTCATACCGCGAAATGAAAGTAACGGACCAACCATGTTGATGAAGTGTAAATTTGGTGGCAGGCAATTCCTATTTGATTAAATAAAATACCAGCAACCCCTCCACCACCACCACCACCACCTCCTCCCTCGACCCACCCAAATATCAAATGTCCATTTGCTAAGTGTGTTACTTGAAAAACAATTTCTTGTATAATAACAACAAAGTACCATGACGTACTCCTTCCGTTCATGGGTGTACATGTGTACATTTCGTTATTTACCTCCTGCTCGGTATGGCCATGGGCATGGCCGGTAGCACAACAGACTATGTTTTTACGTGTCAATTTCACAGCTTTCTTAACACTTTAAGGGTCCAGATGAATCGTTCAGGGGAAAACAGGTTTTAATATGTCTTTTCCAGGTGTGAATTTACGTTTCGTAAGACACATGTATGTGTTTTGAACACCTCAAAATAATTATCTAAATGGCGGCTTAAATTAATTTAGTGTGTTTATTTTATCTGAATTGTTTATTGCATAATCTACAAAAACTAATACTCAAATACGAGTCTTCAGACAAACCCTGTTGACGTCGTAACATATCTCATTGATTCGAGAAGTTGATTATGTAGAAGTGATAATTGCGTAACAAACAGTCCTAGCCATATGTATTGCGCCAAGGTTACGTTAATGAATTCTGTGGGAGATTGTCGTTGTATGTTCTGTGGGAGTTACTTGCCGGGAGAAATTAGATCCAACTTGAGATTGCTCTTGAGAAAGCAATGATATCTGAGGGCAAGAGAATCGGGTGATGTCGGCGATCTGTTCCATAATCTCTTTGTTCACCCATCCAGCTCATTAACAGTTCTTGACCTTGGTCAGCCAACTTTATAGTCCATAAAGGAGTAAAAACTGTTTGTACGGCATGGAAAGTCTGATTGTCTGAAACCCTGGTTCCTATTTTGGAAATAGTTTTACAGCAAGCTGTAAACGTCCTGGCAAATACAGCCATAATGGCAGAAGCAAACGGAAATTAGTTCGTTGTTGGCGTTTGACACAGATCTAGATGATGCATACACACATCTACAAATCAAATAAAGGAATACTTCATTAGTCATGTATTATAGGATTGGTGGGCCGGTGATATTATTTATCACAACTATATTTGGGAGGGGGGTCAGCCTTTTATGATGCAATCGTAAAACAATCACAGCGGCCCAGCGGCCCAGCGGCCCACCAACTCCTCTAATAAATGACCAATCCTTTACTGGTTATTCGTCTTTCAAACCTTTAGCAGTAGGTTTATACGCAGGATGATGACCCCAACGTCTTTCGTTACTCCGACATTCAACAAGAACTTTTGTCTTAGTAGTATAGTGTGACATGTTTGTTAGAGGACGAACAAAGTAATAACGCCGCACTCAGCCATATTCCAGCTATATGACGACGGTTCAGACGTTGAACTGTAGGTTTCTACTGAAGGAACTATGTACTTCCAGTCTCAAAAGTGAACAGATGGTAGATTTCTGAACAAAACTAAGCGTGACTAAGATGCTAAGATGACTACCAAATATGATAAACTTCTACTTCAATTTCCGAGTGTGTTATTCAGTGAAATACATTTAAAAAATCTTACCTTTCTCTGGTGTGAAATGCATTTATGGTGACGAAAAACGAAATGATTCGTCACTCATCAGTAGTATTGGAAAGACGAACTATTTCCGGAATATCTCATACGAATGACGAAAACTAGATTCCTTATTTTGATTAATCAAACGCTAATAGCGAAATATCTCGTTATCAAATACATGGTCAGGAAAATATGAACGAAATTTATCAAATTATATTAAAATATATGAGAACCAACACACGACGCGTCTTGATGCATACTTCTTAAGAAACAAATTTTATCTATATTTTGAATAGATTAATTTGAATATGAAACATGAAATCTTTAAATGTGATAATTGAATTACAAAGCGGTTTATGTTCATAGTGGTACCTGAACATATTTTTATTGCATGGTAATCCGCGCGTGGGCACAGACTGACTTCTCAGGTTATCATACACGCTGGTGTATTTTGCTTCAGGTATATATCATTTAGTATGTCATAAAGACATACATTGTAGGTAGAATACAGTGTTACTGCAGCTGGTGTTTTCGCTGAGTCAGTGATAGTCCCCGTCACACCATAAACATTTTGCCGCAGGGGTACACCTTATTTCCTCAATGAACAAACAAATGAAAGGATGATTTAACAGAGGGAATAATGAATGTATTTGTTTGTTCTCTTTATAAATGAGTGAGTATGTGAGTCAGTGCCTGGGTGAGTGTGTGAGGGAGTGAGTGCTTGAGGGAGTGACTGATTGCGGGAACGAGTTCTTGAGTCAGTGCATGACTGCTTGGTTGTGTAAGTGAGTGAGTGCGTGCGTGAGCGAATGATTCAGTGAGTGTCTGACTGCTTGCGTGAGTGAGTTGTACTCTACTCAAATCAAACAAACGAAATACTTCTAATGTTCGGCTTCATGAACGGCTTAAAGGGAGACAAGGCTCGGGTCCATTTTGGCAGTCCTGGCAATGTTTATTCAAAATGTTCAAACTCCAGTTCTTTATCGGTCAACTCAAGTTATATATATCAATCCAGCAGGGAACGGGTCTCCTCATGACACAGAGAGAGTGTGTCAGCTTTCCCAATGTGTAGATCTAGACAGGGTACCAGATCGCCCTTTAAACTACTAGAGCAATGACCATCCAACGTGAGTTCCCTGGTGCCTACCGACAATGCACTGCCTTGTGTACCGATCAATTCAACCAGAACAGATCCAGCTGAGTGGAATGTATTAGAACGCTTTAACTCTCAAGTAAAATAACGAATTAAAAACGTACATTAAGACAGCAACTGCCGCAGTCGGTTTCATCTTTGATCTTTGATAAGAAAATGGCCATTTTAACGTTTCGTTTCATCTTTTCCGACTATCGAAAGGAAGGAAACAAAATTAGACCTGTTTGTGTCCTAGTTTAACCTGTCCCTTCTATTGACGCCACAGATGACTGGATTACAGAACATAGACCGTCAAGTGCATGGTGCAGACCGCCACCGACCCCCTGTGTCTGGTGCGGGCCGTCACCGACCCCCTGTGTCTGGTGCGGGCCGGGTGACGCATGCAGGGTAAGACTTCTGTAGCCTTCTGCGTGATTCTCTCACACATATATCAACACTGTAGAGGAGATTTCGTTATCAGGGGGCATATAAGGGTAATAGTCTGGTCAGTTTTCATTTCAATGTCCTAGGTAGACACAGGTGCTTGCACGATATCTGGAATAAACACTGACATGGCTATGGTGATTTAACCAACAATACAATGGTCTGGGAAAATGTGCATCCAAGCATACAATGAACTACCGATACATCATTTCTAGCATGATATACAATGAACTACCGATACATCATTTGTAGCATGATATACAATAAACTACTGATACATCATTTGTAGCAAAAAATACAATGAACGACCAATACATCATTTGTAGCATGATATACAATGAACTACTGATATATCATTTGTAGCTTGACATACAATGAAGTACTGATACATCATTTGTAGCATGATATACAATGAACTACCGATACATCTTTTATAGCATGATATACAATGAACAACTGACAAATCATTTGTAGTATAATATACAATGAACGACCCATACATCATTTGTAGCATGATATATACAATGAACTACTGATACAACATTTGTAGCATGATAAACAATAAACTACTGATGCATCATTTGAAGCAAGATATGCAATGAACTATTGATACATCATTTGTAGCTTGATATACAATGAACTACTGATACTTCATTTAAAGCATAATATACAATGAACTACTGATACATCATTTGTAGCATGATATACAATGAACTACTGATACATCATTTGTAGCATGATATACAATGAACTACCGATACGTCATTTGTAGCATGATATACTATGAACTACCGATACGTCATTTGTAGCATGATATACAATGAACTACTGATACGTCATTTGTAGCATGATATACAATGAACTACCGA